GAGAATTTGCCTCCTCATGTTCTTCGCTTGGTCTACAAAGAGGTTTCAGCTTTAGCAGCAGACCCACCTGAAGGTATCAAGATTTACCCAAGTGAAGAAGACATTACTGAACTGCATACGTCCATTGAAGGACCGGGTAAGGATTGCTATATGGTGTCACATTGGTCATGAAACTCTTGAAAATTAAAACATGTCACACAACTAATTTTTTATTTTTTCCATTGAAGCTCACAGCGGTCTGCACCTCGCTGTGTGTGCGTTCTTAAAGTAAGAAATGGTTGCATGATGCTGAATATGCTGTTAATACCCGTAACAGTATATTCAGTACAGAGATCTGTTTCTGTCTATCCACGAGACTCAGCATTATATATTGTCTCACTTCTCCATAAAACCCTGGTTAAATAGAGTTACAGAACATGTATATTGCCTTCTATTGATCGGGCATTCAAACAACAGGTAACAATCACATTATTCTAGTAGACCATACACTTTGAATCTGAATTTAAAAAAGCTAGAATAAGCTGGCATACATTTTGTTAAGGTATATAATAATTTTTATCACATCCACTCTTAGGTAACTAATTGTACAATTTCCTATGACCTCTTTGGCTTTTATGATGCCAGTTTTTCGCGTCATACTTGCTTCCTACAGTATGTCAGCTGCCCAACCACTACACATTCAGTAAAACAGCTTGATAACTATTTGCCAGTGAAAAGAGGTTTCACTCGATGACCAACCTTTTATCATCATCTTAAGGTAATAACAGCTCTTGCCTCTGTTTACCTCTCTCGCTTATGATGACTAAGATGTCACAGTTGTCTGCTCCACTATGTGAAGGTAGTCGGTGGTTAACTATCCACAGTTAAATAGTAAGCTCTGCCACCAGCTTCACTGAACTACTTTTTTTTTTTTTGCATAATTTACTCATCAGGCAAACAACTCCTTAAGATGTACATTAATGCATCTGTTTTACAAAGTGGAAATTATTCTTCTCCATGGGTCTTAAAAAATGTACATTATTGTGTAAAGGATCTATTTCTGGATTTTGTAGATGGTTTTTTTAATTACATCTGAGACAGCTCATCCACTTAAACCACAAAGCCAACACTGTTCATGCTACCGTGTCACTATGAGCTCATTGCTTCAGACCTTGTTATTGTAAAGTAGTCCTTGAAGAGCCAGACACTTGTCGGCATATAGTTCCCTCCTCAACAGAGCAACTTTGTGCATCAGTTTGATTTATTAGGTACTCGTACTATTTATATCAGATTTTTATCAGATATTAAGCAAACAGACAGCATCCAAAACTGACATAATGCTTCCTTCAGTCGTCATTTTCATTAGATTTCATTATGTCATATATTCATTAGTGTATGTGACATTTTTCTTCATAACCTAGACTGATTATGATGAAGACACAGAGTTTGAACTAGCTGATCAGTGGCTGACTTGGATGTAACATTTTCTGTGTTTTTGTTAGTTGACTCAGTTGCCGCTCTATGACCCTCTTTCTTTTTATGGGGCGAGTGAGGACATACTGTTCATGAGATTAATTCTTTATGCTTTGACAGAGGGAACTCCGTTTGCTGGTGGCGTTTTCCGAATGCGCCTGGTCCTCGGGAAGGACTTCCCTGCGGTTCCACCCAAGGGGTATTTCCTGACCAAGATTTTTCACCCCAACGTGGGTCACAAGGGAGAGATCTGTGTCAACGTGTTGAAGAGGGACTGGAAGGCAGAACTCGGCCTCCGACATGTCTTACTTGTAAGAGGGACCGTCAGTCTTTGATGTTTTGAGTGTGGGCTGTGTTGCCTCCACTGTTTTTACATTTCCATCTCCCTTATTTCCCCACAGACGATCAAGTGTCTTCTCATCCATCCGAATCCAGAGTCGGCTCTGAACGAAGAGGCCGGGCGCTTGCTGTTAGAGGACTATGCAGAATATGAGTCCCGAGCTCGTCTGCTCACAGAGATCCACGCCATGGGCGGGCCCGGCGGGACCTCTGGGGCACCTCAGGACCCTAATGACGGCCCACAGCCGAAGAAACACGCAGGTGACCCCACAAAGAGGGCAGGACCCAGTGCGGCAGCTGTGCCAGCAGCTCTGGGTAATGGAGCTAACGGAGCCAGTACCACCACCAGCAATAGCAACAGTAGTAGTAGCACTAATAATGTAGCAGGGAAAAAGAAAGCAGACAAAAAGCGTGCATTGAGGCGACTTTAATACCTCAGCGAAATTCTCAGTGTGTGTGTATGTGTGTGTGTGTGTGTGTGTGTGCGCGAGAGTGTAAATATAAATATTGAAGTGTGCTGATGATGTTTTTGTTCCCTTTTTTTTTTTGACTCTTTCTACCACCTATCCAGACTGTCCACTTTGTACTCATACCTTACCTTCTGTCTTGCCACCACTTTGTCCTGTTGGCATTACAGGTTTGTTAATTAATTCCATACCTACAGACACGATGAAAAATATATCTGTTCCTCTTTTTAAAGGAAAGACAACACTTTCAATGTGGAAACCATGCTATGTGTTGTATTTTGCCTTCGGCCTAGCATAAATGAATAATACAGGGAATGGGTTTCACTGTGCAAAATATGGCCTGTAATTTCTGTCCAGTAATCAGACACAACCACTATTGTCTCAGACTTGATATCAGCTCTTTTTAAAAGTGTTTCTTGGTAAATGCCGCTGTGATGGTACTGTGTACTGCTCAGCCAGGCTCACTCATGAGTCTAAACCAGGATGTTACTTTCATTAAAGTCAGGTATTCAAATTGAGCTCAAAGGAAATAGTGGTAGAAGTCGCTAAACAATTATGCAAGGAGTTGGTGGGTTCACAATTGGGAGAGAAGTGTTGTCAAAGATCACGCAAAATGGTAACATCTTTTTAAATTGTATTTTTCATATTATGAGCTGGATGAAGTAAAGGTATGGAAAGAGTTAGCATTTGGATAAAAGATCTGTTTTGTTTTTCATGGAATCTCAGCCCCTTTTTAAGTTTTTCTAAAATTGTTTCACTGTCCAGTATTTTCAAAAGTTGTTTAGAATTGACATGTCCATATTCAGCTGTCTTGTGGTTGTGTGTGAAGACCTAGATCAGTGGCTTAAAGGGAACAGGGTAGGCTGCCAGACTACTTTATAAATAAAAAAACAAATGAATCATTTATTCTCTGTATTAACCATACAGTGGTGTGACTCGTTTAAACTACCCCTGTTTCCCTACAAAGCAGTTTGTGCTCTCAAATACCCAGCTGTCCGACCAGCCATGTGGGTACCTGAGAAGACATCTGTCGGAAAACTTTCACGTTTGATAGAATTTGTCTCTTGACCCGTTGCACTGGCGGGGTTTCCTGGGCAGGTTTTCTCTCTGTTCTAAATGCATGCGGGGCCTACATTTCCCAAGGAAACACACTGAAGCACTGTGTTAATTTGGATGGAAAAGGTGCCCCTGAAACTCCTGTCATTGTGCAGACTGTTGGCTGGATATTTTATGTCCATTTTAAATTATTTAAATTAATAAAACATTGAAATACAAGAAGTGAAATGAAAAATGACTCATATTTGCTTTTTTTTTTCTTTATCTGGTGTTTTGTATGCGTAACTGTTCATTATAGGTGTATCAGTGGATTCTCGGCTGAGGCTTTTACTGTGCACTTAATTTTGTTTATAGTGGTCTCCTGTTCTGCAGTGATGGAATAACCATTATGAGGAAATCAGTAATTACATCCACCCCAGCAAACCAGTGCGTGAAAGTGCACACGGTACAGCGTCATTGGAGCATCTAATGAAGGGCTGCACTGCCTCAGCTACAGACGTGCAGCAGCCCACCCACCTGTGTAGAAATAGCAGCCTGCCATACAGGTAATTATCAGGCCCGTCTTAGACACCTGGGGCTCCACGTAACCCTTTACACCTTCCCCAAGCCCCCGTTTCTGAAAGAGCTTACCTCCTTTCCCACCTGCCGTCCACCTCTATGGCATTTCCTCCCCCATTTTCTTTTCTTTCGGCTGCAGCCACTTCCCTTGCTGTTATCTGAAAGCCAACTTTGACATTTATTTGGTTGAATAAAATGAATCTTTGGTCTGATGTGGGTCAGGTTTAAAGGGAGTGTGTCACACAGAGTGCAGCGGTGTTAATTATGATTCATCCTTTTAGGTCTGATCACAGATTCAGACTCATGTAACACGATCCTCGGTTTAAAATTGACTGTAAAGAGAAAAAAACCAAACTAAATCCGGTTTCATTCATGTGCACGTTGGTCCGAGGATCGTGAGGAGGCACTTTAACTGTACGTGAAGGTGGAATGAAGCCAAAACAAGAACCAACTTCCTTCTCTTACAAACCTCATTCTGTTTCTCTCCTCCTTCACTCTCTTTTACTGCTTCGCCTCGACTGTCTCCCCCCCCGCTAGTCCTGAACTTAAAGAAGACCCCTCTGAATTGCCGGTGCAGGTCCGGGTCTAATTGACAGTTTCGTTCACGCTCCAGTGTTGGAGCTTTTTTGCGCCAATCCTCTCCCCTTCCCCGTTTTCATCGCTTTCATAATTGCCACCAACATAATGACACAGTTGCTGTGGCAACCGTGTCTCTCTTTTTCCTCTCTCCCTCATAACACACACACACACACACACACACACAGAAGAAAAAAAAAAAAACACACACTCTTTTGGATCTCGGAGTTCTTCCGCTGAATTTACCGGCTGATTTAATTTTGTAAGTTGTTTTCCCCACACACACACACACACACACACACACACACACACACACACACACACACACACACCCCTTTTGTGGCTTTCTCTCAGCCCTCAATTTGACTTCTTTTGAAAGAGCATGTCCTGACTGATGTGTATGTGTACTTTTGCCAGTGAGGGTCATTCAATTAAAGAGTAGAGTGAAGTGAAATGGGGGGGGGGGATACAGATGAACGCCACCAGTTGAATGGGCCTATTGACCAGCAGCGCGGAGTTGAGAGTCTCATCAGCACCAGTCTGACCGACCAATCACAGCGCTCCTCCTCTGGCGGACCTCCGTGAGGCCAGTCGCAGTTAGGCGGTGTAATCTCGCTTGGAAATTATGAAGGGAACCAGCCTCAGTCAGTTCTAGATGGAGAGAGGAGAGAAAGAAAAAAAAAAGTTAAATTGAGCGGAAATCATCTGGCGAGCATTTTAAAGCGTCTGACACCTGAATTACTGCGTGTTCTCCAGGATAGTTAACCGCACTGTAACTGTAACTAGTGCATAGTTGAATTGCCTTTGTCACATGTATCTGAAAATCTCAGAACATCTCGTTGGGCACTGATTCTCTCTCTCTCTATCTCTCTCTCTCCCCCCCCTCTCTCTTTCTCTCTCTCTTTCTCCTGCTCGCGTTTTTTTTTCTCTCTTTCTGCCGCGATAATGGATTAACAATAGCCGGATGGAGACCGATTGAGATCTGCAGCACTTGTAGAAAAAACACGGGCATTTAAAGAAAAAGGGGGGCAAAAAAGAAAAAAAGGAAAAAACAGGTGGCAGATCCGGCAACAGTTCACGCTGTCCTGATCATCCTCTGCTACAATAACAGGCTGCCATCTGAGAAACGCTGAGATACAGTGCGCAGGCTCTCCCAGCGCTGTTCTCCAGCATCAAAACCCCAGAGCAACGCACAGGTAAGACACGACATTATGCACCTTTTATTAATGCAACACCAATTACCGAATTGCGAGTGAAACTGTGTGATACCTACATTGTGTATGTTTTCTGTCTGTATGAAAAACGAGTTTGGGCATCTTGTTTAGACGCATCAGCTGTGCTGGAGGCTGTCAAACAAAACATTTGGATGAAAGCTGCGCCACAGAAAACATCCACACAGGCTTTCTGATGGGCAGACATGTTTTTCATCACTTAAACACTTTAATCGACAACTGCCAGCACATTGCGACATTATGAACATATTGATATTAAGACCACTGATAACACACGCATCCAGCCGGACTACACACACACACACACACAAACACACACCGGCACGGATACACCCACGCACTTTTTAGCCTACTGATACATGCAAGTCATGTCCATAACCCGCATGCTTGTCCACTGCAAGTTGCAACTTATTAACCTAATGAAGGGTGGCTTTTAGTCTGAGGAGTCGATGTTTTAAAACCACTCGGCTGATGCGGAGTCATTGCGCAGCATATATTTTTACTGATAAGACTCAAAGCAAACCGCTGCTGCGCGTCTTTCACTGTCATTTATTGTCTTTTGCGTCAACATGACTTCTATTTAGGATGTTTTCCCCCCTCCTCTCATTCACATCACAGCGCGCTTTGCAACAGCGTTTGTAAAGAGGGGGGAAAAAACGAAGCCATTTTGTTTCATTTCCAACAAACACCTGTTGAGATTGTTGCATGCCCAGCCGTCTGCACATCTGGTCAGCATCCTGCAATCAAAGTAAGGGCGCCGTTTGGTTCATTTGCCTTTAGATACAATTGCTTGCAGTGCCAGGAATCTGTGGAAATGGTTTGTTCTCCCTCCAGTGGCCATGTAACTCAGGGATGCATCTTCACAGTTCTGAATGTGTGCCCTTCACCCTTTGGTTCCCATTCTCGCTCTCTCTACTGCAATGCTTCAGCAGCACAGTATAGAGATACCTACAGGAAAACATTTGCTTCTTTTGTACGTTGAGTCACTTTGCTGGCAAGATATGTATCAGACTACAAGGTTTTAGACTGCAGGACGACTGACACTCCGTATTTTGAATTAATATCTGGAATAATTAGAATTTAAAATCTTGTGCATTGTTAGAAAGCCGCATTTGCACATTTATCTGGGAGTGGTTTGGATATCTGACCACAGAGTCCCCGTGAAGTGAATGGAGTCAGAGTAGAAAATATGGTAATGGAAGTTGAGCAGCGCTCGCAGATGCAATGCAAAGACATCAGTGTCATCTTGTCGAGCAAGGGACGGGCAGATGTGACTTTGAATCTGGTTTGGCTAATGGGTGTAGATTGGATTCTGCCTCCCTTCTCTTTCACTGCCTCTTTCACTCACACACAGACAGAGCTGCAGTGCTATTCTGAGAGAGTTAGCTGCCTCAACCCACGCACAGAATCTGAGAAAGAGAGAAAGGCAGAACGAGGGAGAAGGATGGAGCAAGAGGAATAAAAGGAGAGAGAAAGACTACAAGGAGGTTTACAGAATGTCTACTATAGTCTCTCACATACACACACACACACACACACACACACACACACACACACACACACACACACACACACAAAGAAAGCCTTTTTACAGTTTCAGATTGTACCCCTTTAACTGCTCTAACAGCATCTGATTTACAGTCTTGATTAGCACTCCTCTTGTGTGTGGCATTGACTGTATTTGCAGATCTGTTTGGTGGTGCTGTTTGTGTGATGTGCTATGTTGTATTGGTAAGTGCTGGGAGAAATGTACTTGATTCTGTGCCACCCACACACCGCCCTCCCACTCATGGTCGTCTCTGCATCTATACCTCTGGCTCTTCCCGCTCGCCACAATCTCTTTGCTCATTTAAATCCCTACCCTGCATTTATCCCTCTGCTCTCTTTCTCTCTTTCTCTATCATTGGCTTTTCAGGAGCGTGTTCCTCCTGCAACCAAACAGGCACGCTAACACACACACTCGGCCTCTTGGAATTCACACACACACACACACACACACACACACACACACATAAAGCAATTAATAAAAATGATTGTATTGTGTGCACTCAAAATGTGCACGCATGAGTGTCAATAAGTGATCATGTCTCTCGTTTGTATTTGCAGTGGAGGCTCGGCACGACACCTTCCAGGTTCGATTGTCGACGTGTAAACCCCAAAGACAATTCTGGAAATCAACATTCAATCAACATTTAGAGGCGACAGAAGAGAAATTCTCCTGGAGAGAGGAAGCGAGAGGAAGAGAGAGGAAGAGAGAGCGCTCTTTTGGAACATTAGTCAGTGGGAGAACTGCTGCTTTGTGTCTCTCATTTTTCCTCTGCTGAACTCTTCTCAGAAGGTCAGAGGAGCATGTAACTGAAACAAGTGGAGCCCTCGGTGATTTCAGCATTCTGTCTCCCCCATCTGTGCCTACATTCTCTGCTACAGATAGGGACGTTTTTGATAATTACATATAATTATAATTTCTGTGGGAGACAGATCTGCTTCTGTCTATTATTGCCAACACCTCCAACACAATAACTTCACACATTTACATATTTCTCAACAAAAGTGATATTCTTTGAACCTTCTGAGACAAATCAGGAATAATTTTACTTGGAGAGACATGTCACACGGAGAAGCAATGCGCCATTCAGTTCATGTCTAATTAGTGATACAGTTGAATGACACAGGCGACTTTTTGTGCCTAAAAGCTGAATACAGAACATTTCAATTCCGTGACGTTTGCCTCATTTTGCAAAGTGTTTTACAGGCTGGGAGTCATTTCCTTGGTTTATGCTTACTCCTAATTTTCAGCTGTTACAGTCTTCTAGCACTTAAGCTGAGCCTCCCTCATTATCACCCCCGGCCCAATCACAGTAACAGTCCGTGCCAGGCGAGTACTGATGCACATTAATCCCACCATAGAAAAGATTGAGATAAAGTACGTGGTGTGTCTATAGATGTGATGAGTGCCTAAAACAAGTTAACATGGAGATAAGTCCCTGCTCCAGAGAAACTAGGCATTATTAATTGGCGTTTTTCATCAGTGGTGCACTCAGTTAATACAATTTAATTGTTTACAATGCCAAAAAACACCAAATATATGAAAAGAATTATAGATTTCATACATTTTTCCAGAAAAGAATTGCTTACAGCTTAAATAAGTGCCAGTTCTTAATGTATGTAGTGCCAGACTGAAATAGTCATCCAGGAATGAACAAACAGATAAAACTGTTTACATCTGACCGAATACGGGCCATAGACTATTGTTCAAGTGCCACAATCAGCACAGGAATGTGTGGGACTGCCATATTTTATTGAAAATACTTGCTACAAATCTTTACTGGCCTTTGTGGTTACAGAAGAATTATTCCATCCAGCAGTACGTCAGATATTTGTTCTTTTGTTCAGTGGCACATGTAGAACAAGGCATTAAGGACTAAAAGCATGAAGATTGTTGTTTTCAATTTGTCCTTTTTACAAAGATGCATCCATTTTAGTGTTCTAGACTTAAGAGGTGTTTTTGGAGGGCAAAAGATGAAGTCATTACACATTCAGAGTTTCTTTCTAGCAGTAAATTAAAACCATTTTAAGACCATTATCAACAATTATTGAAACCTACCAACTGATTTTAATAGTGTGGGTCTTTTTCATTTGTATTGTTCCTGACCTTTTCAATTATTACACCATATAAATACTCAGTTTCTGACAAAACAAAAAAAACAGGCTTCAAATTTCATCACCCAACTTTACTGAATGAAACTACTGATACATCATCAATATCCAGTAAGTTGTACATGCTACTTGAATATTTCACATGCCATTTTAGTGGGTTAAACTGCAAAAGCGGATACAGTGTTGCAACTGCATTGACTCAACAACAGAAAATAGATCTCTTAGTCATGTAAAAATGACGCCCACCACCAATCTCAGAGTCCTCGCTGTCTCCCTTCTCTCCCTCCTTACTGCCCCACTTACCACTGTTGTGGAGACCTCTCCGTCCCCCCCTCCTCAACACACAGATCGCTCAGGGAGGCCGTTCACCGAGCAGCCCAAGACAGGCCCCAGCCCCTCTCTCCTGCTCCTTGCCATGCAGGCCAATATCAGGCCAGCTGCTCTCCAGGGCAGGACCAAAACCCCTGAGAAACTTCCAGAAACCTCAGAGGGAGTTCTGGAAGCGCCTCCGAAACCCCTTCCCCAGGTAATGTTCCCCAAGAATGTGACATCAGCGGAAGCCCTTGCACCTCCCCTAGGCGCTGCCCAGGTAGCGCCCATTCCACCCCGCCTGATGGATGTTTGGATGGATGTATGTCGGGGTTATTATGACGTAATGGGACACTTTGACAGCGCTTTCAACTGCTCCAAGGACACCTTCGTCTTTTGCTGTGGAACCTGCCACTACCGCTTCTGTTGTCCAGATCGAAATCGGCAACTGGAGCAGGACAGCTGTAAAAACTATGACTCTCCACACTGGGCCAAGCCACAGACTGACTCCATGATCATATCAGAGGAATTAGGTCCTGACCCAGACTTTGATCCACTGAAGCAGCAGAGCCACAACACGGGCTTCGTCATTGGAGGCGTTATTGTGTTCATGGTGGCTGTCGCTGTGGGCATCAAGGTGGTCTTCAACAAGGTGCAACAGGAAGCCAACCAAAGGGACCTCAACATGCCCAGGTGAGGCTTTGAAATTTTTCTTTTTTCTTTTATCATCTCTCACAGCTGGATTTGTTATTTCATTCCATGTATGAATACTGTATGTATGAAATTAGGTTTTCAGGACTCCATAAATGGCCCAGATTCATCATTCTGGGCTCAGAATAATGTTGTTAGTCATCAGTTGAAACATATTTGATCTTCATCGAGTGGCTGCTGCAGAAATCATGGTTGTTTTGATTCCTCTGGGCTTTTTATCTCATATATGGCCCGTAATCTTGGCATAAAGATTTGCATTTCGATTATACTGTATACAGCTCACATTTTTCCATCTTGGACTACAGTAGTGGAGGATGATGGTTGCAGACTGATATTGAACACTGGTTGATCCCTTAAAGAATGCAAATTATAAATAGTGTATTGTTTATCATCATTGTGCACAAATTTATATCCAAACCATTGGCAGGTGACTGGGGCTGATTCCTACACAACTGAAATACAGTATATTTTTGGAAATTATAAAATAGATGTTTAAGGAATTGTTGTGACATTAAATGAGCCTTCATCCTATGGTTGATCTGTTGCTTATCAATATGAATCACTCCACTGTACGAAATAATATATCTTGTGAGCAATATTTATAATGACAAATATGATTAAACCCTTGTTACAAAAGTGCTAGACCTAAAACATGACTTAACTTCACAGTGTTAGATGTGTTTCATCAATATGAATTTGATGTCATATGATAGTCAGTCATATAGCCAGTATTTTATTATCTATTTTATCTTGTGTTTCCTTTTTGCTTGTGTTTATGATATCATTAGAGCCCTGGTTGACATGTTGCGGCACCAGTCGAGCCCAGTCCAGCAGGATGAGAGAAACAACAGCGTGGCTCTGGCTGTAGGGGACGGACAGGGGACACTGGGGAGAGCTCCAAAAAATCTTTATGCCCCAGGACTGCCCAGCAAGGACAACAGATGTGAGGGTCTCAGGCTTTTTACAGCTTTAATGAATAACACACTCAGAGACACATTTAGAGCTTTTGTAAATGCATCCTCTGTATGCCGAGGCACATCGTGTTTGTCACATCTGTATCTGTTCCACCACCAAGATATGATGTTAATGGTTATTGAAAAAAAAAAAAAAAAAAAAAAGAATCCTCAATGGTGGAGTGCAAAAAAATGAAGTCTTGATAATTTCTCTGTACCGGCTGTGGTCACTGAGAAAACATACCTCCGTCTTCTTTGTGTGATAATATTAGGCCTCCACTTCAACATTCAAGTGGTTAAATGTACAGGAATCAGGAGATTAGTGCTTTTAGAATATGTATGCTTTACATGGTGATGTTGAAAAGGTCTGTGCATGTGAAATGATGTGAAGGTTAACTAATGCAGCTACTTAAATCTCTATGGTTGCCTTGATCTTTTTATGCTAAAGCACCATTGAACTGGATACTGCCTGACATCCATTTTGTGCTGATTACTTTATGTTCTTTTGACTTACAGTGGGCAATTTGCAACACAATTTCATCCACTCATCAGGCTCCAGCCCCAAACACACCGCAACTATTGGTAAGGCAGCTGGTGAAAGCCGGCCTCCTATGTAAATTACATGTAATCAACACAATGCTTCATTTACTTTTTATTTAAGCTCAAAAGTAGACTAATTCATCATTGCTTCGGTTGCTTGTTTTGGTGTTGAAAGCAAGTTAAAATCTGTCCGTTCCAGTGAATGTTAGCAAATTCACACCTTTCTGCGTGCAGTGCGCTATATCCAGAGGAGCAAATCTCATTTAACACACAGTTGTTTTCTCCCTGTGGTCTCTGCAGAACGCACCCCTCGAATGAACAATGCTCAGCTGGCAGCTGGAGGCACCCTGCTCTCCAGTAAACACAACAACACCAAATCCCAGCCTGCCTTCCACCACTCCCTGCACAACCTGGCTCAGCTGCCGCCCTCCTATGAGAGCGCCACCAAGCCTGAGCTCAATAGATACTCCTCACTCAAACGCCTCGGTAAGTACCTTCATTTTTGTGAAATAAGGACAAATGTTTCCGTCTGTCTGCCCCTCACTCCCCTTACAATGCTGTTTTTGCAGCTGTTTCATTTTATTTTTCAGTACTGAAGCACGGTGACACTCTTGACACTATGGCATAAAGTGCAGGATGCGTCATTATGTGCTGATGCTATTTACTGTGGTGATAAACAATTCAGAGAAATTTTGTTTGGCTTCCAGAGAAAGGTCTCGATGAGTACTCGTCTGGTTACTGCACCACCAAGCGCCGGCCTCACACTGCCCAGCCGGCCCTCCAGTCCTCTCAGCACCACCTACACTGGGGTGGAGACTACACCCTCAGTGGGAGAGGAACCCTCCCCAGGCACGCAGTCCGTCCCTGGATCCCGCCGCCGCCTTCTGGCATGCCTGCCTCACCCACCCCCAATCCTTACCCTCTGGATCCCCCGGAGCCACAGTACAACCCCAATTACGACACTCTCTCCAAGCCCCCAAGGAAAGTTAAGTCCACTGACCAGCTGCTCAACATGGGTGATGTCCCTGGCAACACAGGGACTCTGTCCAGGTTGTCCAAGAACCAGCAACACCAGTACTACAAAGCCATGGCTGCCTCCAATAAGAACTCCAACACGCAGACCCTCACCAGGAAGCCGCAGGACAGGAGAGAAGAGAGACAACAAGAACGGCTGCTCATGTCCCCAGACCATTTGGAGGAGAGGATGGGGGTCGGTGGGATGGGGGTTGTAGATCCGTACGCCCACACAGGAGGGATTGTCCCCACGCTGCCTCGCCAGCAGAAGGCCCAGTCCCAGCAGAACGTCTGCGCCACGCCATCCCTCGACCGACACCACATGATCAAGATGAACTCTCACCCCACATCCGGACGAGAGCAGGAGAGGAGCACGGGCATGACGGGGCACATGAGTGGGGGCATGGGCTGGGCGGGGGAGATGCCTGGGGCTGGGGTAGTCATGGGAACGGGAACACTAGGGGGCCACAGCGCCAGGAGGATGGCTTTTGCAGCGAAAAGGCAGAACACCATTGAGCAGCTACATTTCATACCGGGAGGGGGTGGTGGGGGATCAGGAGGAAGTGGAGGAGGGAGTCAGGGGATCAGGACAGGGAGTAAAAATGAGGTGACGGTGTAAGGTTTGTGCCTAATGTGGAGTTTACCCCTCATCAAAGGTATGGGAGTAGATCACCCTTCTGCATTTAACTATTAGATATACAACTACAAAACATAAAACTAGAAGTATAAAGTATAGTAACAGTATATAACGTGTTTAGGCTATTCAAATTAGTGTTATCTTGTAATAAATAGCTTAAATATGATTACTTAATTAAAAATCTAAGTGGGAAATATCTGTTCCAATTATGTGATAGCCTACATCAGCCATATTTTGTAACAAAATTTGCCATATTGCCATATACAGCGGTGCCATTATTTGTAGAAAGACTGACTGGAAGGGTGAAACAAAACTAACAGAAGTGTTGTTCATTATTTTGTTTTTATATATGTTTTTCAAAAAGTACTCAGGAGCCATATTAGATAGGGAACGAGACGAGATATATATATATATATATATATAAAAAAAAGAGGTCGATGAAGAGGAGGACCATGTGGAATATTGTATCACAGAATTTAATAGAGAATTGAGCCAACTACCTGCTGGACTGTCAACCTGCTCAGCCCTCACCAACAATGATTTATTAAACTGAATCTCATGGGTGAAAGGACCAGATGAGTCTGAATGAACCGTGTGCCTGGTGAGGGTTTTTTGAGATCGGACACACTGCTGAACCAACCTCATCCTGACACAGGGAGACAGAACTGAATTTTGTTGCTTCCTAGGTAAACGAGCAGACGGGGGTGGGGGCTGTTTCTGACTGGAACACAGCAGCCTGACACTATTGGCAGGACTCCGTGCCCGATTTAAATTGCCGACGTACCCACATTACCAATCTGATGCCTGGGTTGCCTAATTTTCCATGTGACCTTAGATCAAATCCCCAGAGGAACTCACACTCTGATCACTGTTACACTACAGGAGTGGTTAGATTGTGTTATGGGGGAGTTTTGCCCTAAAGTTCCCATCTATAAATCAGGACCTACATATAAAAAACAATGGGCTACCAAATAATTTAGAGCCATCTGTCACGTTATTACAAAACAAACATCTTGACATAAATGTAAATGAGTCAAGAGATAACAGACGTATGTGTTCAGTTTACCAATAAAAAAGGCAACCTGCTTTAAAGTAGGTTGTGCACGAAGAGCAAAGGTTTTTCTACAGAGCACAAATGAATAGACCATGACGCAGAGGTTGCACTTACACAACTGTCCTTCAAAGCCATTTATGGAGATACAAAGAAAATACCACAGAGGAAGCTGGTCTGACAATCACCGTTTTATTATTCTCACCAGGTGACAAATTATTCAAGTCAGTGATATTTTGTACAGTCAAAGGATTGGCTTCAGAGCAAGTCAAAAACCTCTGAGTCAGGAGAGAGGGCGACCTGAGGCCTTCTCCTGGCATGGCTCCATATGCCATAAGAGACTCGGATTGGTAAGGAAGCCCTGCCCATCCTCAAGACGAAGACCTTGCTGTATCATAACGCACTTCAGCCGGTATGAGTAAAAAAAACCACAAAAAAAAAACAGAAAACAGAAAAAAAATCTTCATCAATAACAACGCTTATCAATACTAAGGGCTATCCTATCCTATATACTGTAGTATGTGATATCTGTGGTCCATATAAAATGCTATCTCTTTCTCTTGATTTTGTGTTGATATTGTCATGATGTATTAAGTATTAATGTGTACAAAAAACAAGAGCAATTTAAGCACAGTTCAAAGAGAAACAGAGACAAAACTTTGCACAAATCTATCCCCTGATATTTGCACCAGATACAAACTTACTTTGTATCGTGTCCTCAAGGTTTACATTCTGTACAAGCATGGCTGAAAGTGTGACTGATCAATGGAAGGTATTGTACTGAGCAAGGATTTTCTTCTTTTTTTTTTTTTTTTTTTTTTTCAATCAACAGAAATCAGAGATAATTACGCCGATCAAAGAAGGAACTTGTTACTGCTTGGTTGTTTGTTCAGTCATGTGAAAGGATACAGAGATGAAATACTGATAAACAGAAACACAGATTTCATTTGGACAATCTTCCTATACACAGTGCTAAATGTAGTTGTTATGAATATGATGGAGTGTTATTATTAATAATTATTATAACTGTTATGGTTATTATTAACAATTATCTTATGATGTGATGTTCTTTTACTTGGTGGGATTTAAGTGTTTATTGTTTTTAGATAACTAGCATTCTCATGACTAGTTGGTTTTTCATACATCTGGTCATAAATTCAAGTTTTTAAAAACATTCTGAATCTTGATGCATGCCAGCTCCATTTCATTGAAAGGCATTTACAGTATGCCTGGATTTTAAGGTCATCAATATGGCCAATTTTCCAGCTGTATGTACTGTGCCTAGACATCGGCCTTATGACTTCCTGATCTCAAGTGATTACTTAGGTTTCCACTCGGGTACAAAACGACTATTGAAAAAATCTGCAGCCTTCTAAACGTATGTGTAGACGACAGTGTTTAAACAGCCGGTAAATGGATAGATGTGTTTGGGACGGGCCAGAAGTTATTAAACGCCACCAGACTGGACACAGTCTCCACTGCAGCAGCCTGACCCAATAACTTATTATGGGTTGTACACACTCAACCCATGATGCCATAATGTATGTGTGTTCGGGTGAATGTTTATTACACAGGTTTGGAGAGAAATGGAGGCGTAAAGGAAACCTGAATGCTTTGAGTGCAGTGTCTTTTTCAGGGAAATAGGACAGATGACATACAGTAGTATTAGATTTTTTTAATAGAGCCACAAAAGGTCTGTAGCAAAGTCTGTAATATCTCACAAGCCATATCCATCGAAACTCATTATCACAATTTTATAAATGGTTAATCTAATTTGTGCAAGTATTGTATTTTGTATAGCTAGTACAATCAGAATATTTTGAGTGATCTCTTTGACATTAATTTGAGGATTCAACAAATTATGTGTTAGTATTTAATGAATTGTACAGTGCCAAACTCATAACATTTTGTTGTCTTTCTATTGTCATAGCCTCCTACAAAACTACAGGGGTTATTTCTTTTTCACAACTGAGAACTAATACACAGGCAAGTCAGCTATATAAAAAAAGGCTAGTTATCAGAAAGAAATGAATGAATATGGTGTGTGTTTTGCCATTATGAATTCATTTGGAGAGAGGATGGTAAATGGCCACCTGAAATGTAAAGCATTACTAACAGTAAATTGTACGGACAGGGACAGTGTCCAGTAATGAAATTCATGGATTTATTTTCATGCCTATAAATTTCAAAACAACCCTTTTGTTATTGTTCAATGCATTGATCCCCTTGGATACAACAGTGACTTACAAAGAATTTGTATAATAAAGTTGGTGGAAAAAAAACATGTTTTGTCATTCATTATAGAGTCTGAGGTTACTTTAATGTGATGTATCTGTAATCTCTGTGAAGACGCCCACAACCTCTGCCATTATTGACTCCTTCGCCACATTGCTAATCAATATTACCAAACCAGGGGACAGTTTTCACTGACATTGATATATATTCTTATCCTAGTATTGAATATTTTAGAGATATTCCTCAACCATTTCACATTCTTTTCTCAAAGAGGCGCCATTATAAAAATAATTATATTTGTTATATTTATAAAATAAATGTGTTCCTCTGCATTTTGAAAGGCCTGGGTAATACCTGCAAACTCTGCTTGCCAACTTATTTTTTTTTAAGATTTAACAATCGATCAAACTTAAGATAGATGTCGACATTTACACAAAGCTAATTCTGGACTATCTTAAGTAGAACTAATTTGCTACCATATGTTAATTTAATGCACTTGTTGAACTAAAACATAGCAGGGCAATGAACTATTTCTCCGTTTCAGCAGAAAATAATGTAGCTGACACAGATATTTTCAGTGGTGGAGGACTGGCTATACTTGATTACAAGTCCTGCAGTATAAATGTCACTTAACTGAAAGTGTTTAGATATTATTAGCAAAATGTACTTAAAGTATCAAAAGTAGAAATACCCATGAAGCAGAAATGAGCCCTGTGAGTATCACTATGTATTATCTATTGTGTATTACATTATTGGATAATTATACATTCATTATATGTACCTTTTTACTGTTGGAGCTGGTCAAGGTGGAGCTAGTTTTAACAAATCTATAACACTGATGAGCAGTTTAATCTATAACTGTGTATCATATTTTATAAGCTCAACATATGTTTAGTGTGTAAAAACGTAATCTGTAACTATATCAAATAAATCTAGTGGAGTAAAAAATTACAATACTGTATTGCAGTAGAGTAGAAGTATAAGTTAGAATGAAATGGAGATACTCAGGAGTACCTCAAAATAGTTTTTAAGTACAATAATTGAGTAGATTTACTTCCACCACTGGTTACACAGACATTTTACCACAAAATTTTGTTGAACCAGGTGAAAATTATTTTAAAATATTTCCCCTTCTCACTCCACTTACTTATAATTGTTATTACAGAAACACATCTCTTAATTGAGACGTGCATGTCTTGAGGTGGGGCGACTATTTTTGAACAAAGGTTTAACTCACTTTAGGCCAAGATTCAGACCAAGACTGGCCTGACATATGTCTAACATATGTTTGTGCAACCAGCGACAGTTTTGAGACCACTGGCTTGGTCAGAGGCAATATGTTATGAAACTGAGATTCTAAAAATAATCACAAGACAAATTAGCGTTTTATAAGGGGTCAAACAACAGCTCTATATTAACCAAAAAGCATTTTAGTCATCAGTAGGTTAGTGAGCACATACACAGATAGAGAGTCTACGATAAAACCTCCACATCAACGGGATGCGAGATATTGTGTAAGGCTTTACAGTGCCAGTGGGAGTGGACAACTGTGCTTTAAAATGAAATGAAAAGGTGAGATTGTGTTCATATAATTCACAGCTCTAGACCATCTGAGTGCAGAGTTATATCATACTGTACCTGCCTGATCCTTAGAGTGAGGTAAGGGCTATGGAGCTCATATTTAAAACCTCCTGTGAATACATTTATTGCACTGAGATGTATGAAGGCTTAAATGAAAGAGCAGACATAGTGCTGATACAGGAAGTACACAAAGGGCACAAAAAAATATTATGTTTGATTTAGGCTCTGGCTGCCACCGATGCATTACAATCATTGTAATTTGCACATTTCACCACCAGGAGGTTCAGTGGCTCCTCAGCTCTAACACAAAACCTGCATGAAACTCAACATTTCATATAATTTAAACCTTATTACGCACATATTACTGTTAACTTATACAGGGTGGATTAATATGTAGAGCATACTAAAGAAATAACAAACAATATCTGACTGCTACTGGATACTTGAATTTCCCTCGGGATAAATAAAGTATCTTTCTATCCATCTATCCATCTATCTATCCATCTATCTATCTATCTATCTATCTATCTATCTATCTATCTATCTATCTATCTATCTATCTATATTTCATATGGATCTGGAAATGGAGTTTGCTGATGTGGGGCCGATCACGTGTAAACTGGCTCAATTGTGTAGATCTGGGTTTGGAAACAGAAAAGAGGAATTATATGTGTTCATAAATTAATTACTTTTTGCACCAGTCACAACAAGAGCTTTTAAAAGGTACGATTTATGGATGTGTTTGTGACTGAAAGGTCAGTAATAAATGAAATGAAGGCCTTAGTTTCCTGAACTACTTCTTTGTGAATACTAATCTATATTATTATACAGTTCATAAAATATCCAGACAAACTAGACAAACAAATTGGACTCAGAAGAGAGATAATTGCAAGTAAATGATGAGTTTTAGATTGTCAAAGGAGATACACATCCTATGAATAAAATGTACTTTTAAATGTATTTCTTAGAATCACTATATGTATATGTCATTATATATATATATATATATATATATATATTATTCATTTACACACCATATGTTTAAATACATATATATGTGATACATCATTAAATGTGATTTTCTGTAAAAACATTAAAATATAGGTTAAATATTGCCCCTGGATACCTGTTTTCTAAACCTCACCAGATTATACCTTTCTAAACAGGTATGTTAGAGTTTATACATAACCGATATAAAGTTTATTCCATTAATAATAGGCTACATTTAAATGTGTTATATGGCATAATTCAAAGTAGGAACTTATAATAAAATCTTGAATAAACAGTTAAAATAAACTAAAAAGATAAGAAACTTATCTTAAATATACTTTATAATATACTTTACTTCACTTCATGTTATAGCCTAAAGATATTATTATTATTATTATTATTATTATTATTATTATTATTCCTAACGGTATAATAGGCCTATAAGGCATCAGGCATTATGCAGCCTGGGGAGAAGTTATTAACCTCTCATTAAGGCTGGGTATGTTTGCATATAATCGGACAGAGGGTTGTGGAAGTGGAGTGGGCCAATAATTATCTGAATATGCAACATTTGTGTAAGAGGATCCCCCCTTTAACCAAACGCTGAATCCGCTGTGAGCCCTATTCAACCACCCGTGAGCCCCGCTTGTGCTACCCGGAAATATTACAAGGGCCGGAAAGGACCAATGTTAAGAGAGCACACGTCACTCACTTTTACCCAAAAATATTATCACCGACCACCCAAATTTTTCTCGGCCGTCGAAACCTTTAGCAAAAGCTCTCTGTCGGCGCGGAGGGTCGCAAACAAATGGCAAGGAGGCGGCTGCGGTATCCGTCGGCGTTGATTTCTGTCGGGGACGGTGTTCGCTTTCACCCAGCTCAGCATCAGTGAAAATGGCTCTGGCTAACGACTGGAAAACAGCACGCAGAAATGGAAGCGGACGATAGCTAGCTAGGCGGTTAGAAGAAGGCGTGACAGGCCTCATCCATCTCCAGAAAACCCCCCGTGCACTCTGCACCTGGATGCGTAGGTAAACATTTACCGAATATAGGGTGGCGTGGATGTATGTGCTAACGCTAGCATGGTAATGTTAACGGCAGTCGGCGTGCTTTTTAAATACTGTGTGTGTGTGTGTGTGTGTGTGTGCGGGGTTGGTGGTGGGGGGGGTGCAGGGGGGGGGGGGGGGTTGGGAAACGATGGCTAACGTTAGCAGCAGTGGTTGTGTGGTTTTCTAGATTGCGTGTGGCAGCAAATGGCTAAACACTCCGAGCCAGTGTGAAAATATGATGCTAAGGAGAACAAGTTTTTTTTCATGCAAGCGCGTCCAATGTTTTTTTTCTTCCTCCAAATGCTAGCCAATACTATTACAGGATGCTACCCCAAGTGGATCCGTTATTACTTGCGCCTGTAAAGGGTTGTTTTTTCTGCTAATGTTTACATTGTGCAGCGAGTGCGATGCTGGGGTTAATTTTGAGCATTTCTGCCCCTTTTTTTCTTCTCTTTTTTGCAGGATTTGGTGATTTTACATTAAAATGAGAGGCGGTCAGATATGCGATAGATTATCTCCCTCATCTGCCAGGGGAGCTCACTCCCCGCTAGGTTCATCGCATCGATTAGAGGAAACGGTAAGATTTTTACGAGGTGAGCAAAATGAGATTCAGAGTGAGTGATTATGCAGTTAGCCAGTGAAACATAACTTTCAGCCTCTTCAGAAGTACAATAATGGGCACTTTTTTTTTTTTTTACTTAAAGCAACAACTTACCTAAATCCAGACAAATAATTTACCATAATGCAACAGTTAAATTTTCTACTCTCCCCATTTTTTTGAAGTGCTTTTATTTAATTGAAGATGTGTAGATTTGTTCTATTGTTAGTTAGTTATAATTCGTCTTCACTGTTACTGCACATAATGAGTGCAAGTACAACAAAAAGCAGTGAACTGCAGACCAACCAGATAGTGCAAACAGTAGTAAAGTGCTACAGACATGAATAATAATGAATCAGTGTACTGGATGAATTATAACCAATATGTGCAATATGAACTTGATATCTACAGGTTGGTCATCCTCTTGTCCTACCTTATGGTACTATGCAGCACCTGATACTGTATAATTACACCCATTATTCCTACTCAGGTTATTGACCACTACTAGTATTCCTTTAAGAACAGTTATGAAAGGAAAGACCATCCCATATACTATATTTTTACATTATGTGGACTGGTTTTAGGCTTAGAATGAAACCAACAGAAGTTTAATGTACTAAATACTAACGTGTTTGTGTTTGTGTTTGTGACAGTCTGGTAATAAACAAACTAAAACAGAAATGGTAAAAAAAAAAAAAAAAAAGGTTTGTGCAAGTATGGTGAACTTTGGGGCTGGAAAAGGTGCTCACCTAAGTGCTAAATGAGGATCAAATGAAATTAATTAACATTTTTTTGCAGGACAGGTTGACCTACATTCAAAAACATTTAGTATGCCCTCTGATGACTAATGAATAGTTTCATTTTGAAAAGGAAAACCTGGATAAGGGACTGTGTCCCAGTGATATTCATCAATTTAAGGTATGCAGAAATATGACTTAACAAGGGCTCCTGAGACTGAATAACATCTTAAACTGAATGCACATTATCTGATATCTGATGAATCTTTATTATCACCTCATTTTAATGACTGCCGGTAAGTTGTGAAATGCATTGTTTAATTTTTGCTTATGTGATTTTGGATTTTATGTTGACCAAATTCCTTGTGGTAATAATTAAAAGCCATAATTTGCAGAATTGTGACCACACAAGTGATAAAATGTAGCGGAGATGCCACCAGTGTAAGTAGTACGGGTAAAATCCAAATGATCTGTTACACATGCACACCTGAATTTAACCAAAAGTGAGGAACCAGCTACCTAATGGGGGTTTTCATGCAATGCCGACACACCGCTCTGTATTCTGTCTGTACCTCTTCCTCAATAAACGTGGTACTTACAGAACTAGCCACATAAACTGTATTTATACTGTATACCTCATCTGAAAGGACAGCATATAAGTGTTAAAGGGTAGGTACGCTGGTGTATAATATTGTAATAAATTGGGTTACTATCTCCAAAGTAGCTTTATTAAATAAGCAACTTCCTGCCTCCTTTCACCATTAACTCGTCTTTAAGGCAGAGGCTTATTTTGAACACCTATATGTAAAGACAGTAAAAATGTTGGAAATAACTTTTGCCTCCTTAGTAAATATGAACATATGATATAAAGAATTGGCATTCATGTAACAATACTGGTTGTGCTGCAATCCAGCAGAACCACATCATGGTAAGTTATGACCAAATATAAGAGATTGCAAATGTTTATTAGCCTGTTGGAAGTGGCTGCAAAAGTAGAATTATCTGGAAAGAGACACCTTAAATAGTTGAGAATTGTATTTATTCACCTGACATAAGACTAAAACTTCACTTGTATATTGGTCACATTTCTAACTTAAACTGGTGGAGTAGACTCACGATAAGAAGAAACATTTGATAAGCAAATTGCAGCATAAACAAGAAACTAGCAATAACTGAAAATGAATTTATCAGGTGTGAATAAATCAAATCCAATATACATATTTTAAAAAGGGCAGCTTAAACCCAGTGTCAAAGTATTAAGCTGGTACTCTCTCCACTTACCTAAGTATAGAGATTCGTAATTACAATACTGAATGAATTTAAGTTATCATTTCACTTAATGTGGGTCATGGAGATAAATCTCTGTCTTTTGTAGTGTTACAGTACAGACATCGGTTTCTGTCTGTTAGATTCACTTTAATGGATGTGTCGCCTTGTTATAAGTTAGAAGCCTATTATTAAGTGACTGTAAGTGAAATTGTACTCAAAATTATAGTCCTGTTCCCTTCTATGACTTTCACCCCTTTTTGAATTTTGTTTTTTCAGCTATAGGGACTTCTCGACTGAACACGGATGAGGAATCTTGCTTAGATGAAGGAAAGTGTCAACGCAGTAACTCTCAAAGGAAACAAGAAGAAGTCATTTGAACTGCTTCTCAATAAAAAACTATTCTAAGCAATTTTGAAAGTAGGTGGAACTAATCTACATGTTAAAAAGACACTTTTACCCTTTGATCATAAACTCATCTTCCTGGCTACCCCACTCATTTTGGAAGTAGAGTGTGGGCAGCGGATGATCAACAGGGAGTAGCAGCACCAGAAGTAAACAATCTGGAGAGACGAACTTTAGATTTAAGACATTCAAGTAATTCTGGAAAAAAAATAAGTATCATAACCTCACCCTTAGGGTAAAGTTTGTCCTTCACTAGTCAGTGGTGGGATCATTGTTGCCTCTCCTAGCGCTGAAGGTTTGGCACCTGCACCCCCATGTGCCAGTGAGTGGGAAATGTTCCAATTTGGAAAATACAATCTGGACATTATAGAGATGTTAAGTGGGCACCAGGCCCACCAGTTTAAAGGCCTTGGTTTAGATCGACAACTACAGCATCAACAGCAAGTGCAACTTCACCAGCATCAACTCCAGCAGCAGCAGCAGCAGCAGGCTGAGTCTTCTGGAGCTCTTCTGTCTGGACTTGGCTTGGGCCCCCTGCAGGGGTCTAGAGGTAACGCCTTTTCTGATTCTGCCTCCATTTTTGCCAAGATGAGTGCCCCTCCTCCCCCACCTTTACAACAACAGCCTTCCTCATCTCAGAGCTCACGTTCAAAGTCAAGCAAGATGAGCAGCAGCAGCTCAAGCCATTCTTCAGGCTACCCACAGTTCCTGCGCTCTTTCCACCCGTCTGAGGCAGCACTAGCACAGGAGCAGTTACACCCAGGTGTAGGCCGCTTTGAGCACTTTGCTGGGGGAAGTAGCAGTAGTGGGAGTGCTGGGGGATTAGGAGGATTAGTAACATCAGCACCTCCACCCCCTCCTCCTCTGCATCCCGGCCTCTCTGTCCCCCAAGCATCATCTGGTCCCTCCTCTTCCTCTCCTTCCCCTTCAACCTCTGTGGCCACCTCTAATAACCCTCCTAGCAGCAGTGCAGTCAGCACATTGGGACACCAGTTGGTTGGGGCCCAGTCTGATGCACGGAGTCTTCACCAACAATTTAGTTGCATGTTAGCTGCTAATCAGTATTTCCTTTCTGGGGTGCCAGCTAATGCTAGTTTAGAGCAATTTCTTGTTCAACAGGGAACCCATAACCATTTAGGGCTTGGTTTAAGTCAGACAGGTGGGGAGCCTAGTACTAGTCTTGCACCACCTCCTGCTTTGCATTCTTCTCACCCACATGGCCACTCCACTCCCCAGTCACAGCAGGGTCCTCAGCAGCCTCCCCAGCAGCAGCAGCTTCCACCTCACACCCTATCTCATCCTCACTCTCATGCTCATCCTCACCACCCGCTCCACCCAGGCTCCCAGCCCTCATCACTAAGTGGCTTTGACTTCCAGGGCATCCCTGTACTCTCATCAAATCAAATAGCTTCTCTGATGCAGCAGGAAGCAGGTTTGCCCCTCCCCTTGCCACTTCATTTATCTTTATCTAAGGATGATGGCAAAGGGGAAAGCAGTGGGGGGGGGAGTAGTAGTAGTGGTAGCAGTAGCAGTAGGAGGAAGAAAGCTATGGCGGGCTATTTGCCACAGAGAAAATCAGAAAGCGCTAGTAATAGCAGCAGCAGCCATGGTCACAGCAGCCACACCGGTAATCCCAGCACTACTAGTAATGGTGGAGGACTTAGTCATGGTCAGCCCCCAGCTTTAATTGGGAGTGGGGTTGGTATGTCAAATATGGGGGGGGACCCATCATCCCTGCTTGCCTCATCATCTTCATCCTCATCAGTAGTTTCTTCCTCCTCCTCCTCTGCTCCCTCTTCCACTGCTGCCTCAGTACTGGTTACTAATGATTCTCACCTTTCTAAATCTGATAACCAGAGCTCAATGCAACCCAACCCCACAGAGTCTGATTCAGAGCCCGTTTATAGCTGCGGAGATTGTGGCAAAAGCTTCCCTCACCTTTCAAGCCTTCGCAGGCATTTGCGCATGCATGAGCCAACCACAGCAGGTACTAGCAATTCTAGCACTACTGGCCCTAACCCTGTTCATATTAAAACACAGCCCGACCCAAGCCTTCCCCATTCGACCCAAGAAACTCCCCAACCCTCATCCAATTCTTGTCCTAGCCCAGACAAAATATTTCATTGCCCTGAATGTGGCAAAGGCTTTAAGAAAAAAGGGCACCTCCTGCAACATGGTGTTATACACTCTTCAGCCCGCCCATATGGCTGCTCCACCTGCTCTCGGGCTTTTAATCGTAGAGAGTCACTGACACGCCATGAGAAGATACATGAGGAAAAGCCATTCCGATGTCCCGCCTGTGGTCGTGCCTTCCGTGAGAGCACCTCTCTACTCAACCATGCTGCCTCAGGCACCTGCGGCAAGCCAGGTAGGGGACCCAAACAAAGGGGCGGCAAGACAGGAGCTGATGGTGAGGACAGAGTCGGGGGAGGGGGTGGAGGAGGTAACGGAGGAGGGGGAACTTATCAGAGCAATAGAGGGGTTATTTATGGGAAAACTGAGGAAGAAGATGGTGTAATCATTGTGGGGGAAGGAGAACCAAAATCAGGTTTAGGATGTGATGGTCTGTTTCAGTCTGGAAGGGGAGGGAATTCAAATGACAGGGACAGAACAGATGGTAAATACCCCACTGACTACTCTCGGAATCGTTACACAGGCTACCATGATGACCACCGTTCTCAAGGTAATCCATCTCCATGCTACTCTGGTGCCTCCCCCTGTGGAAGTGGGATGGCGGGCCCAGCTCTGAGAAAGGCACCCCTGGCCCCAACACTGCATCCACACTCACAGAGCCACAGCCAGCACCACCATCCGCAGCAACAGCCCCACCTGCCCCTTTCTTCTCTACTGGATGACTCAGAGGATGATGTCACTAGCTCTGTCAATAATGCAATCTCTGCTATAACAGCAGCTAGTAACAGTGGAAATAGAGGGGATGATAGGGGAGACATCATAGGAGGTCTACTAGGTGGTCTTGGTTTAGGTCCTCTGGGCTCACCCTCATCAACATCTGGTATGGATAAGAATTTCAGAGGTGTTGGTAGCCAGGAGGCTATGAGCAGCAATCCACAGAATCCTACTGCCAAACCAAAACGTCCCCGCAAACCCAGAGCTAAGAAAGATCCTGCACCTGGTGGACAGCCCCCCAAACGTAGGCAATACACCCCCAGAATGGGGCCCAGTGGGCTCCCACGCACTCACCTCTGCAGTGTCTGCGGTAAGGGATTTGCACGTCGCGAGACCCTGCGCAGGCATGACCGCATCCATACTGGAGAGAAGCCCCACCACTGCGCTGTGTGTGGAAAGTATTTTAGAGAAGCTTTTCACCTCAGCAAGCATCAAACAGTCCACTCTGGGGCAAAGAATTACAAATGCAGCATCTGTGGGAAAGAGTTTGGTTACTCCCAGAGCCTCAGGAGGCACAGCAAACTCCACCAGAAAGGGGAGCTGGAAGAGGTGCCCACAACACCTGCTGCGGAGAACCTTAACAGCTTTAACCCAAACCCTCAATGTAGCGTGGCCCAAGACAGGAGCCAGAACCAAGCACCAAGCACCTCCTCCTATTACTACTCTCAAGACGTCAAGCCTCAAGACACCAACCCCCAGCCTCAACCTCCACCCCCGCCCCAACCACAGCCCCCGCCTCCGCCTCGACTCTACACCTGTGCTATATGTTGGAAGTCTTTCCGTCATCACTTCCACCTGACTGCCCATCACCAGACGGTTCACGAAGGTGGGGGTGAAAAGCTCTTCTGCTGTGAGGTATGTGGCAAAGCATTTGCTTACTCTAACAGCCTCACTCGACATAAGCAGTCGCAGCATGGGATGACCCGCAGTGAACCGTCTAACCCGCAAGAAGGCAGCAGTGGGTCTGGAGACAACAGAGGTGGGAGTGATGTTAATCAGTCAGCATCAGAGAGCGAGGCTGCCACCAATGCCCTGCTACAGATGGCTCCTTCCACAGAAGGCCATGGAGGGCAGAGTCTTAGTGTCGTCACTCATAGCCACCAACAAGCACCCCCGCAACCACCAGCTGGTTACTCTCCCCTCTTTTACGATGCAGCCCATTCTTCAGCCTCTAATGCTCCATCTTACTCGCAGCCTCTGCCTCCAAACTCAACAATCATGGCCCCCCAGCACCCCCATTCCCCAGCCGGGGTGAAAGGAGAGCACATATATCCAGCTGGATCCCGTAGCCGTACGCTTCACACCACAGCCCCGTTCCAGCCCCTCACGGAACTGCCCTCCACTGAACATCATCATCTGCATCATCATCACCATCACTCCCACCATCATCCTCATCATCAGTCCGGTACCCAGTCCCACCAACACCTTGACTGCAGCATCCAGTTGTCACAGGATGACATGAGACGACACAAGAAGAAAAAAAAAAAGTCCAACAGGAGAGATTGGAGGGAAAATAAATGGGAATCCCAAGATCTAGTCAGATTCGATGGAAGCAAAAGGAAGAAAAAGATACGTTGTACAATAAGAGGGCAGTTGAATAAAAAACAAGGCTCTCTTCGTTTGACAATTAGGCGAGGAGAAGGATCAGGTGGTGGAGGGTATAAGCTTGTCAACACTGGGGGAATGAAGGTGCAGATCCTGTCGTCTCTTAAAGTCCCTGTGAAGCGTTTTGGCTGTCCTATATGCCCTAATTCTGTGTTTTCCCGTAAAGCGGGACTGCTAGTCCACATGGCAGTAAAACACCCACAGAAAGCCTCGACCACTCAGGAGCGACTAAGGTGCAGCGTATGTGGGAAGCAGTCTCACAGGCCTTTGGCAGCCTTCATCCATCGGGCCTCCCATCGTGCCAGAGGGACTTTCTCCTGCCGACGCTGCTCCACTCGCTTCTGGAATGCAACACTTCTCCACAGGCACAAGGTGTCCTGCCGCCGCAGGGCTAAAGGACTGCAGCGAGGAGATGCTAACAGGCTGAAGCTTTCAAAGAGACCAGGAGAAAGACAGACCCAAGAGGGTCAGGGGGAGATGCCATACCTACAGGGACCATACAGATACTGAGCATCCTGGTATCTAAAAAAAGAGTGGCATACAAGAGGGATATTTCAGTTGTAAAATGGGAAGGTGAGAAAAAAGGGACTTGAAAGGGCACGCTGCCTTCTAGGAGAATTTGCCTCATGTCTCATGTTGACATCTACTCTGCTGACTATTAGAATGAGTGTTAACAACTACTGTAGAGCATCCTATAAAATATCACCAGAAATTCTTCCAGATTATATTGGAAGGTGTTTTCAAAGACGTGACTGTTTCCATAGGTTCATTAACCCCTTAAGTGCATTGACACTGCTTGGCTGACACTGTGCAGTTACTAGACAAGTTTAGGTGAAATGACCTGCTAATGTATCTCTCTTCCCCATAACTAGAATCCCTGCTACACCTCTTGCTGTATGATAAACGTCTCTGCCGTGTACTTTGTCTTGTTGTTGTTCACTTAGAGGCTCTGAGGATTTTTTAAAAATGTAAAGTGCATTTATTAGGAGTAGGGACATGGGGACAAAGACCTTTGTTGATAGTTTGTCAGTGCATGTTTGTTCTCTGGTCAAGTTTTTTGCTGAGGTTGTGAAATCACTCCTACAGTATGTGATGGTTTATTCAGTATATCCCCAGAAGTTTGTAGTGTTAAACTTGATTTGAAAGTTGCTCAATATTCCCTAGTGATTTAATCACATATAGATAAAATGTCAAAGTTGCTGGTAATTAGCATTACAAGGATCCCTCTCCTGCCAAAATGAAGAAACTTACAAAAAGCCTTGCTTAGTATGTTCACTTTACTTCATTTATTTGAGATATTCCTAGCTTTTATACCAAGAGATTGAAAACAGGTTAAACAAGTGGACTGTAACACATGTTTATCTCATGTTATTTGTATGCTCTTTTTAGCAGTGATTATTTCTACAGTACTTCACGGTGTGTTAAAGACAAGGACCTATCATAATAGAAACAAATGTAATATTCCATGTATTTATGTGTGTAACCCAATCAGTCTTCATGCCAATCTTATACTTAACCCCTTCTACCTTTTACTTTTTGCTGAGTTGCAATCATATTCTTACTGTCAAGCCTTGTTTTTTTTTTCTTCTAAAGAAAAATAAGTTTTAAGTAAATCTTGTCACTTTATTCACATATGAAATGTTCATACCCCTGTCAAGCCTTGTTTTTTTTTTCTTCTAAAGAAAAATGATAGTTTTAGTAGATTTCTATCACATTATTTACTGAGAAGTCAGTAGTTGATTATATTTCAGCAATGAATAAACCTTAAGTGTAATCATTTGTTTTCCTTTCATTTCTCATTCAAAATTACCTACTGCAATATCCAAAAGATGGTACAAACTGTTGGTCAATGAACACGAGTAAGTTGTAACTGTAACCAAAGTCAATATTGAAGTTTTACAATTATATTTAGCTTCATGTCCTGTGTGAATTACATATCACTCTGTGGGTTAAATGGATTTCAGGATGTAGTTGATATACCAATAAATTTCATCAAAGTTCATAGGTTTACTAATGTTATTGGCCAGATTACTCCAGGGTGATGAATTGTTTTCAATAGTTTAAAATCTACAGTATATTATCACCATACTTGAAATAAACGGCTGTGTAAAACTTCTCACTTTTAACTCCACAAGATGGCAGTAAGCAACTCATTTTCCTCCACTCTTGGCCTGGTGTGGATGAGTGTGGCAGTCACATGGATTTTGCACTGATAGGGGGTGGACTGGAGAGGCTGAGTGTTGTGTGACTGAATTATGTGCCTGTCTGCTGTTTACTACAAGATTAATGCCACAAAGTAAACAAAATGCTTGAGCACCACTCAGTAATCTCACTGAATGTTTACACATTAATGTGGTGTAAGAGTAAAATTCAAATGCATGTGATTTTACATTTGTGTGAAGTGTAAATTCACTGCATTAGGAAATAATATTATTTGTTACTGTGATTGCAAATCAATGATTTTGCGGTAGAAAGAAGCTACACTGAAGTTGACCCCAACCACACAGTGTCCTACAAGTGATGGAGTTTCTATAGAAGAGTTTACAGTCATAAGTTTGTGCATTTGCATTCATATAATTATAAAAATCAACCTCTTGCTTGCAAATGTCTTGATTGCAAACAAAAAATGATTACTCACACCCATTCACTGCTGTTTACTGTGGAGTGACAGGTGGTAACCATCTTAGGGCCCCACAGCTGGACAAAATGTCCAGTTTTATTTTGAGAGAAAAACAAGGGACAGTGTTAACTGAAGGTGCACTGAACCTCCTCCTTGCAGTTGACAGCACTATTACATTAAATATTACTCACATTTATTGCTTTATACTCTTATTTACTTGTATTATTTATAAAAGATTTGAGCTGTATGACGACCCAAGTCTGTCAACTGTTCAAATGTAAACTTTTTTCATGTCCAACTCTTTTTAAACCCCCCCACAAAGGGCTGAATTCCTGCGGCGCGCTATGTTTTTCATGTGCTCTGCAACTGTACAGTAGACCAGACAGCCCTCGCGCTTTTTGTGTTTCGAACTGGTCTCACGCGGCAGTGGCATGCACGGGGGGAATCCGAGCGGGCGGGTTTATTCGACCTATTTCTGTCCAATGGGAGCTCGTCGTGGGCGGAGCTACGGGCCTCCGCGGCCAATCGGAGCGAGAGCCGCGAGCGGACAGGCTTCGTCTCCGCGTGCCTGATACACGTGAGCTGGAACAGCTATTGTACGCCGGGAGGCAACGTGCTGAAGAGTTCCTCTCGCCTGAAAAAACGGCACACTCACGTTTTCAGTGGATTACAAGGAAACTGGAAAAGCCATGCTGCACTACCCGATTATTAAAAGAAAGATAAAAACATCTCTAATAGGGATGAGTACAAGTTGTGAGGCAGTGAGCCTGCGCAGATCTAAATGAGTTATTTATAATGGGTGTTTTAAAAGTGTAATAATAATATTTAATGTGATCATACTGGAGGTTTTAAACGCTCACAGGTGTGACGCCGCGGCGTAAACAACCAACCGACCAGGTAAAGTCACACAGTTGTTGGTACCTGTCAGACAAAACAACACAGCCTGTTCAACCTCGGGAGTGTGGCACGAGGGTAGGTGTGTCTCATAAATAATGAGCGAGGGGCTGAGAGGTCTGTTAAAAGCCGTGGCCCCGCCCACCTCGCGCCTCGCTCGCCTTGATCCGCGAGGTGTGACGTCACGTGAACTGCTCGTGTTCGTTCCAGCTGAGAGAGAGAGAGAGAGAGAGAGAGAGAGAGAGCACGGTCGGACGTGGACGTCGCACGGCCCAAACACAGACCGAAGCCCGTGAGCCCGTGACTGGATCCACCGGATGCAAAAAAAAGTACAGACAGAAAGAGGAAACGACCCCCTCCTCCCCCCGCGACGGACAGCAGAGCGCGACAGCAGAGGAGAGAAACACCAATACAACTTGTCATCTGACCAACACAGCCACTGCCCTCGTCGCTGAGTGTGGTTTTTTTTTACTGTTCACACTGTTTCGGTTGTTTTGTTTTGACGGGCTGTTTTTTGGCTCTTGCAACTATTTTTATTTTTTGGAGGATCTTCTTCCTTTTATTTTTGCATTGCCGGACGATAAAACTCGGGATATTAACTCTTCAAGTTTTTTTATTTGTGACATTCGTCCCTGTCCGTGCAAGTCTGCGGATTTCATTGTCAGTCTCAGCGCCTTTTTGTATTATTATATGGACAGTGTTGTTACTCAGATGGTCTGACTGTCCCTCCCACACGGAGAATAACAGCTTGATCTTGAACAGTTTCAACAACCTACAACTGCAATGGAATATTTTGATGTAAATATCTCTGCAAGGAAATAAGGGAACTCTTCATAACTACAAGTTACAGGTAAGGAGGAAAAAAAAAAGCTTTTATTTTGTAACTAAAAGTGTTCAAAGTATAATTAAACTGCGTCATTAATTCTGTGCTCATACTTTGCAATTACATTACAATGGTTGCTTTATTCTTCATGGACACTTCTCAAAACTATCTCTCTCTCTCTCTCTCTCTCTCCCCCCCCTCCTCTCTCCCCCCTCCACCCCCCCACCCCGCGGCTGCACGCTCACACGCACAGTCATCCAGCACACTTGGTCCTATTGGTAGGTGCTTCGGTCAGTTTGCCACGCCCCTTTCAAGTGCCCCAGGTGTCTCTTTTTCCAACTCCGTCTGGTCCAGGATGTCCAGGCAGCTCACCCAGCTTCCGACCCCCGACCTCCCAGCTGGCGCAAGCCCACAGTTTGGAAGTTGTACTCAGCCTGCTGGCTCCCTAACAGGGGGGCATCTCAGCTCAATGACGGGTCTAAAATCCCTCCTGCAGCATCCCATGAAGGGAGACCAGCGTTTGAAAAGCCCATGTGATACAAAAGGTGAGAAACTCTCTCTCATTATGATTGAATTAATACTGTGTCACGGTGTGTTGTTTATGTGCAGCACCATAGCACGTGACACAGTCTGTCTTCAGTGTGTGCAGTGACAGAGCATGAATAAATCATACCGGTCTGTTCCACCCGCTGCTGCTTTTTTTATTATTATTGCAATACAAATATATAACAATATTATATAATAAACATTACATTTGTCACATTTTAATGGCACAATATTTAACACAAAAGTCAACATCATACATATTTATGATGACTCTTCCACGACCCCATGAGTGTTCACCTGGATTATAATCCCTTCTTCAAATTATAGGACCCAGATTACACTGAGTGATAACGTGTTTTGTTGCAGCTGTTAATGCAGTGCAGGCGTGCATCCTGGCTGCTTACTGTGCCAAAAACGTACCTTCAGCTATTGTGAGATTTGTTCAGGAGCTTATGTATATGTTATGGCAACAAATTGGTTTTCAGCTCTTGCTTAATGCTGCAATTCAGCTACCATCTGGTCCATCTGTGAGTGTGTGTGTGTGTGTGTGTGTGTGTGTGTGTGTGTGTGTGTGTGTGTGTGTGGAGACAGTATGATAGACTTCTTCAGAAGTGCATCTTATGGATACACCTGCACCCCAAATATGGAGAGTTGCCACAGAATAAAGTATCTCAAGAAAACCTTGTTGGGCGTACTGAAAGCTGTTAAAGTCACCCCAGAGTTATTCTTCATTCTGTACTAATAATGGTTCTGCTCTTCTATCTCTGGCAGACAAAGAGAGGCTGGACCTTGATGAGGACTCCATGGGAGTGTGCCCCATGAGGAATGGCAGTGGAATAGGCAACAGCAATAGCAGTAATGGCTGTGGAGGAGGAGGAGGAGGTGGAGGAGGAGGAGGTGGTGGTAGTGGTGCTGGAAGTGGAAATGGAGGAGGAAGTTTCAACCAGTTCTTGGGGCCTCTCTTGTGGGATCGCACCCTGCCTGCAGATGGGGGCCTCTTCCAGCTTCAGTACATGGACTTGGAGGAGTTTCTGACTGAAAATGGAATGGGCAGCATGCATAACAACAACAGCTCCAGCTCAGCCCAGATCCCCTCACAGAGCTCCCAGTCGGCTGTTCCCAACCAGAGCTCCCAGTGCCTACCGCCCTCGTCACCGCCTGGTTCTTCATCTTCATCACCTTCGTCCTCTTCATCCCCATCGCTCATTGGTCTGGAGGTGGCTCAGCCCCAGAGCCTTGCAGGAGGAAGCGACTGTCTGCATGGTGAGTTCACTTACATGGAGCATTTTTTTGTTCTGAGTTTAATAGGCGGACAGTCGAATCAGAGAGTGAAAGAATGAGCGAGGACAGTTAATTCTTCAATGTTTTTGTCCATTATCAGCTCACAACAACAGTATCATGGAAGAGGGTTCTGAAAACTTTGCAGAGTTGACAGGCTGAAGGACACAAATTGTACCCTGCCACTGATATGAGACTAGTTGAACCTACAATTCAATAATGGTTGAGATCTAATCAAGGTTATGTGGCACGCTTGCAGTGTTCCCACGGGCTAGTGATTCAGCATTTTGACTCTCCTTTCAGTTTATAACAAATGCCATGGTGACCAAGCATTTTTCTGACCTGTGGGGACAAACTGAAGGCAGGAGATACAGTCACATGGCTCAGAATGCAAAGTCAACTTGAAAGAGACAACACAGGGCGTAGAAAGGGCCCCTGAAATGTACTTTTCATTTTGTTGCATTGTGCAGGGTTAAAAGTTAGCAAAGGGAGCAGGGAGAAAAAAGAACGAGGAGGAGAATTTGAGAGAAAGAGGTCCAGTAAAGAAAGAAGTCTTGAGTTATTTGATGAGTCAACCTCACAGCAATGACAAGGAGGTTTGGTTTGGTTTGGCATGTGATCTATGTACTGCAGTGTACAACACAATCAGCATTCAATCTCAGCCAATTATTAATGTGCAGCAGGGTCAAAACAGTACAGAGAGAGAGAGAGAGAGAGAGGGAGGAAAGTGTGTTGAGTGTTTGCGGTTGCGTGTCTTTAAATCTCTCCCCACTTCACACGCCACAGCCATGTGTACGCGTCAGTACACGTGCCGAGGCTGAAAGTACTGGAGTGAGAGAACTAGAGGCAGGGCCAGTAGACACATGGAGGAGGAGCCCACAGGGGGAGGGACAGACAGAGCAACAGGAAGAGTTTCCCAGTACTGCTGGACTTCAAACAGAACATTTGATCAACAATGAATGACATTAAGTACACTAATATGCAGAAGATAATGTTATACTCGCATTTTGGATGTTGATGCAGGAACTTTAATTCAGTCCTTCAGTAAGTGCATATTTATAAACTCTGATACATTTATATTGTCCTATGCATTTGGATTACAGCCCCTTTTATACAAAATCTTATAATTACATGAAACTAATTTGTGAGACTAATTAAAATAAAAAAATAATTTAGAAATTAAGACTAAAGTAGACTATTTTTGAGTCTTAATTCATATTATTCTGTGGCTGATTTTACTGAAGCCAGTGAATAATTCTCTTCAACTCTCCCAAAGCTTGAAACTAGAGAAGCTGTATTCTGTTCTGCATTATCATAAAGGTGCCCAACCAACAGCTGCTTCATGAATATTGAGTGAAGCAACTCCTGACAACATGTGATTATATTAGGTACCTAAGGAGGAGTAGGGCTACTGTTTGTCCTCACAACAGCGTCAGGCCTTTTTGGAATGCTGATGTATGAGTCCTGAAATGTGCGTGGTCACATTTCAGGCCATCTCTTCAAAAGTGAAAGCCTCCTGTTCTCTGAGGGCTGAAAGCACGTGAACAAACATGCACCAAATCAACTTAGTAAGTCTGCTTTCCAGAGCTTTCCAAAAAGCAGGGAGAGGCAACCTTGTACCACAGGAGAGCTGAGGGTTTGCAGGTTTTTAATCCAACAGAACAGTACACCAGGTGGTTGCACTGACTAGTTCCTGCTGTCAGGTTTAAGCAGCAGAAATCCTTGAAATTTATCCAACACAGAGGAAAAAACGTGCATAGTTTCTGGCCTCACTTGGGTGCCTACAGTATCATAAGTTTCAGTGATGTTTAGACCCGCTGATTATGTTAATGAGACATTTCATTTGTTTTGCTGTGTTATGGAGGCATTGTCATTGTGGAACATGGGAATGTCATGAGGGAACACTTTACACCTCAGGGTGAACCTGGTGTGTCTTTATATTACTTGGCCATTACATAGCCATTACTCATATGATAGCTGCTCACATATTACAGATACACAGATAACCAGTGGAAGCACATTATAGATAGAAGGGATGGTTTTGTTTTTCTGACTGTTCTTCCAAATACTGAGTGCACCACGTTGTGTGCTGACTGAAGTTGTTTGTGTCCCTCATATAATGTGATGCCAAATTAAATTAAGTTGAAATGGTCAGACACAGTTTAGGCTAACACATAACTCTGCCTAGCGTTAGTTTAAAACTGTGATATATTCATGTTTAAAGTCTTCATGTGGATCATACTAATTGAATTTGAATATATATATAATAAGTGTGTTGATTGCGCTGTTTGTGTATGTAGATATACGAACAGTTAATGGGAGTTTTGTGCTCTTACAGTGAGGCAAACTCAGTTGAGTGAAGTGCATTGGGCCTTAAAGGGGGTGGGGTGAGGTTTAACCCTATACTGGCCCCACTTAAAGAAACTGGTTTTAAGGGGAGGGGTAGAAAGTTGCAAAAACATTTCCACTTTTAGATTTCTCTATTGGTATTTAGTTCTGCATGTATTTGGTCAGAATTTGTGGTTTTGATTGATAACAGTAGCCAGTATCATGCACTGATTGAATTCATGTGGTTGTGGGAGGAGTGCAGGAGACAGCTTAAAGAGATTCCTTAAGGACTATAGTAACATTTTTGTTAGGAGAGATAGATAATCCATCCATTATTGACAGTTTGCAGATGTGTAATTAATCATATACTGTATATCAGTGATTATTTGATCTAGTAGCAGTGCTTGATATAAAAAAAATAGATTATCTTATAATCTGCTACAAAAATGTATTATGGAAAAGCCAAATCTTTGCAAGTACGTCTTAATACAGCAACCTGTAGCTCCATTATATCTGTTATTCTGCATGCTAAAAATTATATATATATGATATTCTATAATAATACGTAGTTGTAGAGCATCTTATCAGAATATTCTTCAAAGATTATCTTGGCCCTGGAAACATTACTGTCCATGAAAGCTGACAGAAAAAAACGTCCTCAGTTCTTTGGAAGCAGTGAAGGGCGAAGGAATGTTGTTTGTTGTTAACAACACTAAGAGAGTAGCTCTCTGCTTCCATCTGGTGGTCATTATGCTGTAATACTGCATGTGTTTATATTGTTGTCTTAGCTGTCATCTTACTCTATCTTAGGTTTGACAATTTCAGGATGCATGTAGTTCAGTGAAGAGCATGTAAATCTGATTTTTCTTCCCTCTAATTTCAGGGAGTCAGACGAGTATGAACGATTCCTGTGAGTCACCCTGTTCCTCCTCCTCGTCCTCCTGTCCACCTCTGCTGACACCCACGGGCAGCGGGCCAGATGCGGTGGAAATGTTTGACATGGATGCTTCAGACACAATGTCCAACTCCTCTGGCCAGCAGAACTTCGACCCCATGAGGTGCTCCTTCAGTGAAGAGGAGCTCAAGCCACAGCCAATGATCAAGAAGGCTCGCAAGATCCTGGTTCCTGATAACATGAAGGTGAGTCTGAAGTCTTCAGAGCAGTGGTGGTCAGTTTGCACAATGGGAGAGAAGTAATATTAGGTCATGATTAGCTAATTTAAAGGCCTCATAAATGAATTAATTATTTGTTAATGGGATGTCTTTAAATTCCTTTTAATGTCTGACCAACAGTCTAATACCCAAACATAATTAATGATATAACAAAGAGCAAAGCAGCAAATCCTCACATTTGAGAAGCTGGAACCAGAAAATCTTTTTTTGCTTTATAATTGACTTTTGACAATTAATCAGTTATCAAAATTGATTTATTTTCTCTCAATCAACTAATTGTTATAGCTGGTATAGTTATACAGAACTAAATTAGGGGAAAGCACACACATTGAACGCACCGATTGGTAATGGACTCACTACTTTGACAGACTACTGTAAATATGTAAGGAAGTAAAGATGTATTTATGTATTATTGCTTTTTTTTCATAATGAAAGCATTAAATATCAGCAGGATAAAAACAATCACAAGAGAGACAAACTAGAAAAACAGGCCTCTAATAAGAGGTAAGAGTTTAGAAGTGGTGGAGTCGTACTGTTGGTAATATATGGAAGAACACAAAATATTCCACAGTAAATAAGACTTTTTTATTCTTAAGGTTATTTCTCCAGCAGTGGGATGTAGGATGTTTGCATACTTTATTTCTTCTCAGACATTAACTCAGCACAGACCAAACTCTGATAGGAACACACTCATTCATGGCCAAACACCCACGTTACCAATAACAGGATTGGAGTTGTGTACTGTACAAGTTTGACCGTTCATTGATTATTTTATTGAAGTACTTCTACCCAATAATGCCTTGATTCCCTAATCAATCAAGGCAAATAGTTTAATTACATCAAATTGGCAGATGGTGAAATAATCAATGTGTACTATTTTCGTTTGTCCTCTCTTAGGATGAGAAGTACTGGACCAGGAGGTATAAAAACAATGAAGCAGCAAAGCGTTCCAGAGATGCTCGCCGTCTCAAGGAGAACCAAATATCAGTGCGCGCTGCCTACCTGGAGAGAGAGAACGCCGCTCTCCGACAGGAAGTGGCCGAGATACGGAAGGAACTTGGCCGTTGTCGCAACATCCTTAGTAAATACGAGAACCGTCTCGCTGACCAGTGATGAAGGCGTGGAAGGCCTGGAATCAGGAAGAGGAGGAATTAAAGCTGGATTAAATTTAAGACTCTGAATTTTTGGGGTGGACAGAATGGACAGAATGGGGTCAAGAAAATGGTGATGATGATGAGGAAGCTGATGATTATGATGATGAATGTATAAGACAAGGAGAAGGTTTGTGTAATGAAGCTCAGGTGTCTTGTTTTGTTGAGGTGTCAGCTCTTAAAAGTGAAAGACAGAGAGAATAATTTAACAGATGAAAGATGTGACTTTTAAGAGTTTTGTTATTGGAGAATTGTATATTTTTATAATACTTAAGAAAAATTAGAGGGAGAGCAAATTTGGAGAATAATTTTGTATATTTTCTACATGACGGGGACATAGAGACCGGGCAAAGCTATGGTAAATATCTTTTTATTATAGATGAGTCAGGAGATGTTTAACTGGTGGTCAGCCATCGATGGGTATTTTTCGACTTGATTATTATAGTCAGGATGCAGCAGCAGGGGCGAGGACGCATGTAACAATTGTAATATAGAGAGCAAAAATTATCTTATAATCGTATAGTTCAACATTTTTGTGGATTTTACTCAAGCACTTATTTTTTTTCCTGTTATGTTTCTGTCACTGGGAATGGGCATGCTAGAGAGAAACAACATGAGAGACAAGGGGAGACACCATGTAAACAATCCAGCACTACCTTCAACACTCGTCTTGACCAGTCTTGTGAGCTCTTTTTTAATAGAACATTTTTTTTACTAATTGACTTTGAGTTCCCCAACAATATTAGTACTCTGTACTTTGAGCTTAACTTTATGCGATTGGTACATCTTTCTCTAGTCCATACTTGTATCTTTGACTTTGACTCTTTTTCTCTATCCCAGTTGAGTGCTTTTAATCTGCTCTGGTGTTTTTCGTATCTTACTTAAGCTGGTGAAAGCCTGCTGTTGTGATGCCCTGGGTAACTCTGCTCCTCTTGATCCTCTCTTTGAATTGTTGGGACATTTTCTCTTCCTCTGTTTCTATATCCAACTGCTCTATTTCTGTCTGCTCTCACTTACAGCCAATCCCCTTACAGTTATGTGCAAACTCTTCATAACATTTTGTCCCTGTGTCTCTCTTGTACCTCAACGGTGCATAGAGTAGTTAAAATCTCAGTGTTGTAAGGTTTTCTGAAATAGTAATCAACCTTCCCAGTAAAACGCACATGGTTACTTTACTGTATACTTTATGAAAACACTTTAATTAGCATTATAATGGGGGGAGAAATGTTGTGTATATTGGATAGGCCTATACTATTTTGTGTATTTTATGTATTCCAGGAGATGGGTTGAATACCCCCATTGAGTGGAATGGTGTTAACTTCTCAGATTTCTGGGAGAAATAAAAGCCAAAATTTCCTATGTTGATCCACAAAGCTTGTTGCTATTTAGTGCTTTTTTCAATACTGCTCCTTCTTTACTGTTTACTCCTGTTATTACTTTTTACTGTATCTATAAACTTCTCTGTGTACCCACAACACCTACACAGGGGCATGGTACACTATGTTATGTTCCTGGAGGAGGGGTGACTAGTAATAGAGTGTGATTTTAAACCCCTTAATGACCATGATGAATAGTTACCATTACTGCTATTATTATTGTTATGGTTATGATGATTATCCCTCTTGTTGTTGCTGTTCTATATTATTGAATGATTTTCTTTCTTTGGATAAACATGATCAGTTGCACCTTGAAACATCTTCAGTGTTCCTCAGAAAGACAATTCAAAGGAAAAAACCCTCACTGTCTGCCAATTGCATCCTGTCTCAGACCTCCAAACATTACTCGGACACTACTGCCACCTTGGTTTCTTTGACAATGAATTTCACGTGGCTCAATAGCTTGAACATGATGTTCATGCGGACTTACTTTACCTTTTCCTGGTGACCTCTTCTGTTCCCCAGTGGTGTATGGACTATGCACACTATCAATATGCTCCTTGTTGGTTTATTTCAGCCTCTGTCACCTCAATCAGTGATTGTTTGCTCTCCCAACAGGATTTAGTCTCTAATATCTTCACAGATGTGGTTGATAAATCTTTTAGTGACTCTTAATTGAACTACAACTGCCCTGCTGCATCAGTGGTGTCCATGGTGCCCAGCCCACTCAGTGCTGGTTATTTGGATGTAGTCAAGATTTTTCCAACACCAATAAAAGATTGTTCTCATTCACTACTGCTTTGCTTTCCTGAGGTGCTTTCATCACATTGTTTTTTAGTAGCTCTGCATGCTTCTCTTCAGCTTTGTGTGCCTGCAACTTGAATTTAAGCCCAGCCTGGATCGGGAGAATGGGCAACAGAGGTCAAATTTCTGGAGATGACTACTACTTTATTTATTTACTTAAGCCTGATAACCAGACTAGATGTGAAATGTCCCGAGACCACTTGTTTTGATATCCTCCCTGTTTGTTCACATTGTGTACATTCCTTAAATAGGAAGAAGCATTCTTGCCTAACAAAAGCAATGCTACTCCCCTTGGACATTTAAGCGTTTTATACATTTCTAAATTAAATGCACTGTATGTTTATGCAGATAAAGTGCTCACAAACAGGATTAATTCTGCAATGCAGCTGAGGTAGACTATTTAGTTGTGACAAGGGTCCGTTTGTGTAAATAAATCAGTAGGATGAAAGATATGAGTCACAGCAGGCTGCATGGTAAGATGTATAGGAGGAGCACTCATGACGTCAGGTTCCAAGTCCATCAATTCCCTATTTGTATAACATTTCCTGTTTGTTTACTCCTGTTTGTTTATTGTGTGTGTGGGCAACAGCCATGTATATGTCATCCCCTTTATCTGCTGTCTCAACAGAAATGGGTGAAAGGTCTCTCAGAGTGGAATTTTCCTCAAATCTTTCCTCCTCAACACAAACCAGATGTGTGCTCCTGGGCTGTGCCCTCTCCCCCCCTTTCCCCCTTCACCCCCCTCACCTCCCCCTTTGTTCCCCCCTTCCTTAAAAATGCTGTGTCTGCTCGTCCCTCCCTCATATCGTCTGAGGCCTGGCTTCAAGGATGGACTGTGCTCTGCTGCTGCTGTCCCTGTGGGCTCTGACTGGAACTGTGTCCCTGCAGGACTCAGGTAAGCCCTCTGACTCCATTCATCACTCACACCTGAAAGATATCTCTGAACCCTGCATGCACAATAAACACAGCTGGATTATCACTAAATACTGGGAATAAATGAGGAAAGACCATTACTGAGTGTCCCCTTGCAGTCTAATTATTGAACAGCTGGACTTTCCCCTGCATGCTTTGTTGCTCTGTAGATTGTATTTTAATGTAAAGATGATCATGTAACTAGGGCTTGTGCAATTAATCCGTTAAACAGTTGCACTCATTTAAATTGCAATGGACTAACTAAAGCCTGGACTGTGCAACATATGTGTGCATGTTGAATTAATAATGTTTATGCTGAATTAGGAAAAAAGACTAGTCTGGATTGCAAGTACCATACATTACATGGGCTGTACATAGTTGTGGTTGGTTCAAATGGTTTACATATTTTAGTGAATGCAAATATATGTGTTGGATCATCTTTGACATTTCACACACCTTCCTAATTCTTCTATAATTCAGGTCCATATTTCATGAAATGCAGTAATTATTTAGTTTTCCAATATCATGGGTGCTCCATGTATGCACTGTACACCATGTCTTTGTGCTGTTCTAGGTCGATCAATCTGCATTCATACAGCACGTGTGTTTTCACATGTGCTGGGCAGAGTGAATACAGTAGCACACATGTTTTCTTTCTGAGAAATGAAAAATGGGGAACCCTATCTAACGCCCACTTTTCCTCCCCCACTCTCCCCCCTCAAATGTTCTGGACATTGAGGGTGTGTCAGTGTTGGCTTGCAATGTAAAGTAAGTGGTGGATTTGGTTTAATGATGTGTGATGTGATATAAATGGGGAGGTGAGGGAAATTAGGAGGGGTATATATTAAATTACTCCCATAGACTGAGCCTGTTCAAATATAAAGTGTATTTTTATACAAAGTGACTCAGCTGAGAAAACACACAACAAACACTATTCACAGAAGCAAGACAACACTCTCATTTATTTATAAAAAAACAAGATTGATAGCTGAATGGCAAAGAGTAATAAAGCCTGCCATCTAAATACTTACTCATCTGGCAACCTGGGTGGCAAATGTTTGCCCGGCCTTCCACACTGAATTTACTTTCCTTCAAACAGAAAACAAAGCAGAATTGGCAAACAAAAACTCAATTACGGCCCTCAGTGTTTGCGGTTTTTACAAGGGGGCATGAAAGGAGTAGAAGCAAACAAAGGTACAATTACTGTGATGGTGTGATAGTGTGTGTGGTATCACAACAGGGTCGTGTCCAGAGAGACTTCTGGGAGAGGAGAGGAGGAGGACGTGTCCTCGGCCCTGCAAAACTGACAGAGACTGTGGCAACAAACGGCAGTGTCTGTGTGACGGCCAGTGTGGTCTCAGCTGTGTGGCTCCAGGTAACTATTTGTATGCATGTGTGCCCTCAGTTGTCACTGTGAACACCACTGTGGGCTCAGCCATTAAAAGTGCTTGTGTGTGTGCATACGCAGCTGAGCCAACATACATCTGTGTGTGTGTTTTTCCTGGAAAATAAAATAAAAGCCTTGCTCATGCACAAAATCTGGGCTAAAATGCTGCCTATGTGAGTGCTGAACACAAGCTTTTTATTATGCTTGTGCATTGTAAAAAGAGGGCACTGTGCATGGATTCAGTTTGGTAATACAACCTCATTAAAGCCATTTTGAAATGGTTTAGTGATAACTGTTTTCATTTATTGTATACGAGGAACAATCCAGCACCTTCTGAGAATTATTTTGTTCCCTATCTCTTGCTTTCTCTCCTCACTCCTCCCTTTGGATCATCTCTTTTCTCCTCAGGTCGAACTTGTCCGTGGCCTCTAACCCCCAGTGAAAACTCTGTGGCTAGCCTCCTCTCTCCCACTCATTCCTTTTCTGCCCTGCTTGAAGTGCGCTGCAAGCCGGGATTCACATTGCCCAGTGGCTTGGATGCCACTATTCGCCGTTGTCAAGGTGACCGACAGTGGAGTGGGGATGAGCCCATCTGCACAGGTGGGTTTAAGTTCAACAAAAAAAATGTTCTGTCTCGCTTCATGTCAGGTCCCTTCATAACAGTCAGTTCACAGCACAGATAATGTACATCTGGAAGAATGTTGCTGTTGTATTTGTTATTGAAATTGAATATTCTCTCTCTTATTTAACAGTGTACAGTTCGTGTGTTTAGGTGATGATGTGGTTAAGGGTTAAACGCAGCTTTTGTTTTCTTTTTGTGTGCATGCGAGACAGACACACAGAGATAGGGAAGAGAGAGATATTCAGGAATGAAACCCCTCTGTGATTGTGTCGACTGAGACATTGCACAACTGGGACCTATTCTCCTCGTCACCATAGCAACCAGAGCTTTAGTTGTTCATATTGGCTGTCTGAAGATTTTACTGTTGAACTGTCGATAAGTTTAAAGAGGAGAGGACATTTGAACACACACGTGTGGGCATGAAGATCACATGAATGCACATGTACATATTTGTGTGTTATTTGTTTGTGCACTACAGCACAGAAACCTGTGTTTTCTGTTACTATATACATGTGTATGAATTTAGGCCATAGTTTGTGGTACATATTTGTGTGTTATTTGTTTGTGCACTACAGCACAGAAACCTGTGTTTTCTGTTACTATATACATATGTATGAATTTAGGCCATAGTTTGTGGTGTTTTTGTAATGGGTTGCATTGTAGACAACTCATAGACACAATTAGACTGTTTCTGTGGTATCCAGGGGTGGGCAAAATAAACTATACAAAATATACTACACCATGCTGCATAAAGCAATACAACAAAACCCCAAATTACAGCCTAAAATAGAATCAAGATGAATCACAACTTCTCAGCTTCAGTAAAAATCTAGGATTGTAAGTTCATTATAAGCTTCACATCTGCAACATCTTTATTTACCTAAAACCAAAATGTGACCAGGTTTGCTTTAATTAAAGATGCACCTATGTAGGCCACACAGCAGAACACAACTTAGCTGTAAATACATTTAAACAAATGTCTGAGCAGCTGAAGTCAATTCTTAAAGAAAACACAAAGGGCTGTGCATTGATTACAAGTTCATTTGCAACCAAAGTACCATTGTGCCCCGAGATAATCATGTGGTTAAACATTTGTACTTTCTGTCGGCCTAAATATAGAACAAAAAATGATAAATCCGAATAGGTGGCTTACAACAGGCAAAATTTGTTCTACTGCTGTGCTGCCTTATTACCTTTACCGCTGTGCTGTAAGACTGCACAGCAGTACATGAAATAAAGCCATCAATAACTCTTAGTATCTTGACACATCTCATCATCATAAAGCACCTGTAAGTTCTTTTTTTTCTTATTGCATGTGTCGACCTGAAAGCTGTGATAAAAAACAATACATTTTCAGCTTAAGTGTCCTGCTGCATTAATCACACACCTGGAGCGACAGTAAACATGCTTTCTTAGGAATCCTCAACCCAGCTGGGTCCCCGTCTCACCCTCGAGAGTTTGTATCTTATCAAAGATGTGAAATAAGGATACGATTATGAGCTCTCTCGTAGAGTATCCTCCTGCTGAGAGACGGGCAGAAGGTAGGTGGGTTTTGAACGTGTGAGAGCGTTTGCATTGTGTGTCCTTTGCATGTGTGTTAGAGTGTGAGTCGAGCTCCTTCATGCCTGTTGAGAGGCAGTGGGCGGCAGATCACTGTCAAAGTGGCACAGAGCTGCGTGCACACAGTGTGAGTGTGAGCTAGTGTGTGTCTACTGTGAGTGTGTGTGTGTGTGTGTTTATTGGAGAGAGGTAGAGAGGTAGATTTTTTCTGTATACATTAGATGTGTATGTGTGGAGGGCGGATTGCACATGTGTTACTGAGTGCTGAGTGTGTGTGTGTGTGTGTGTGTGTGTGTGTGGGCGACAGATCACAGTCAGGAGAGTCAGAGAGCTCTCTTGCTCATGCTGCTCCAGGCCTTTCGGTTCCCTGTTCTCCTCTCCTCTGCTCTCTTCTCTCATCCTCTTTTCCTCTCATCTCTTTCTCCTCTCATCCTCTTCCATCTGAGGCCTCTGATAAGGTCTCTTTCTACAATGGGAGCCAAGGACAAGCATGCAGCTCCAGGCTATGTAGTTTTTTCTGCATGCATGCGTCTGTGTGCATGTTTGCGGGAGAAAATCAGAGTACAAACACAACCTTTACATCTTTAGTCTCAATCTGTGTTTAACGTTGTTGTGTTCAAATGTTTTTTTTTTTAAAAGATGAATTTGATATACCTGCTTCATAGCAGTTTGGTGCTGCAGCCTGTGTGGGTGGCAGCAGTACGAGGCAGAAGAAGGGGCGATATGTGAAAACAGAACTCAGCTTCAGGCTCTCATCCACAGCCAAACAGACTCGTAACTCTCCCTCTCCCATAGGTCCCTTTACATTCTTGTATTAACGTTTCTCGGTTTCAGATACCTAAGACAACCCTCAGGCAAGAGCTGTCTCTGCCTTTTAAAGCTGTGTTCAGCTCCGAAACCCAGCGCTTGATGGAGCCCGGGTCGCTTCAGCCTCTCTCCAAGCACCACTCTTGATATTTATATTTCCACAAGCGCGAGGCACTCAAACTTCGAGGAATGAACATTGCCAGGTGTTATACAATCACAGATATAGCTGTGAGCTCGGAGAGGTGTGGGGCGGTGTTTCACCTGCATCGAACTCTGATTTATTACCTAAGAAGGGTTATTTCAACCTAAATAGAACAAGACATTTTGTGAAACGCCTCTGTGGGTACAGTAGGCAAACTAAATAACAACCTTGGTTAATACAAGTCAAATAAGGTAGCAGGATGGATGACTCTTCCTTTATCCATCCATTCTTTCATGTCCTTTCACAATTTTCTTTCTTTCTTTCTTCACATTCCTCTTTCTTTCTTTACTTTATGGCAGTAAAATAACACCCTTATCACAAACAGTCACAGACTGATTTTCTTTGTAGTCTCGTGGGTTATTGTTTGAATACACTAGGTGCTGTTTACTTCACAATCACAATGCACATTAGTTGCACACTGAGTGTTGCTGCATTTCTCTCTGAGGAGCTTTACACACCTCATACATCACTGCGAAGTAGTAATACTACAGTGTAAAAGTACTCCACTAAAAGTCCAGCTTTTAAGATATCCTTAAGTAGAGTACAAGTACAGAAGTACTGACCACAAGGAATCAGTTCATACCATTGTGTAGTTCAATATATAAGTTAATCTGCAAAGTAACTAGTAAGTATGTGGAGTAAAAAGTAAAATATTTGCATCGGAACTGTAGGAGAAGTGAGGAAATGTAGAAGTATTAAGTGGCATGATTTGGAAATGGGTAAAGTAACTGTACTTAAGCACGGTCCTTGTGCAGTCAGGTCTATTTCACCACTGCTATGGGGAGATGCAACTTTTCTGTTGAAGAAATGGAATAAAAGTAACTGAAGCCTAGTCTGTCTGTTTTTCTGCTGGCTTTGGGTATTTTTGTCTTCAATCCAGCTTTATTTGCGGTGGAGTATTTTTACAGTGTGGCATTGCTACTTTTACTTAAGTAAGAGATCTGATGATAAATCTGTATCCTTATGTTCTTCTTTGACCTTCAGAGGCTCAGCCAGCCGAACCTGCCGTTGTCCAAACCTGCCCTCTGCCCGAAGAAGTCTTGGACACCTTCAGCATCGAGGGCGACGCTACTGTAGGAACTTCCATCCGCTACAGCTGCCTGTCTGGGTGAGGGGGGGGAATGGGAGGTTCGGGTTGTGAGTGCGTAGGCAGAGGCTATGAAAACCTGAAATGATGTGAAGGTAGAAATGGAGGAAGTGAGAAGACGGGGATGGAGTGTGAAGAAGAGGGAGGGGAGTGGAGGGAAGGCTTGATTACAGGAGAGGTGTTGCAAAACGACGGATGATGAGCGATGAATGGCAGGGAATTCATTTTGATCTCCCAGCTGACGATCTCTCCATTGAGCTAACTAGGTCATTACAGTCTAATCTTGTATTGACTCCCCTTTACACACTGACTCATCCACAGGATAAGATGAGCCTGAGTGGATGTGTCAGCCAGAACTCTGCACACAACATTTAGACACTCTGAAAGACAGACAGAATGGAAAAAGGAATCATTTACACCTTTTTTCATCACTTTTATTTAGATGATGCTCCTTAGCTGTCAATACTGTACATGTCACACTGCCATCTGTCTCCATCAATCTCCCTTTTCTCCTGCAGGGTAGATATAGTGGGGAGCAGTGTAAATTTCTGCCAGGATAATCAGACCTGGCAGTATCCTCACCCCCTCTGTAAAGGTAAGTGTGCAGTAGTGTGCTGCACCTTGCACTGGCCATGTTTGCATGTATGTTGCTTCATCCTCATGCATTTTTCAAGGCTCCCAAGATGGAGCGGTGGTTCGTTGTGTGATCGACCGGACCTGGAGAGATTTGTGTGTTTATTTTGTGTACATTATATTGTTGTATGAATGTGTTCATGTGTGTATGTAAAAAAACGAGTGAATCAAGGAAGGAGACAGAAACACACAAGCCCCGTTAAGTATACCTCTTTAAAATAGCTACTGATCTATTTGGCAGTACTTTTCTGCCATCTTGTGGTCAAACCTGGTATTACATGGCCTGTTCCACAGTCAGGAACATTCAGGATGCTTCTTGCATCACGCTTAGAGGACTATGACTGACCCTGGCTTTTATTAAAACAAAGTAAAGATAAGATAAGAACAGACAGAGGCATTGTTGCATTTGTAAGCTCAAGCTCTATGTCTGTTTTTGGAGTAACTGCACTATATTTTAAAGATTAGTACATCTCCTGAATAAGCAGACACATAATCTGCTCCTTTCACTCTCTTAGAAGTGCACTGCCAGCCTCCTCGAGAGGTGGAGCAGGGCTATGTGGTGGCTGTTCAGAAGACTGAATATGATGTTGGCTATGACATCCACTACCTCTGTAAAAAGAACTTCCTGCTGGATGGACCTCAGAAGGTCACCTGCCTGTCAAACGGCAGCTGGAGTGCATCGCCCCCATACTGCAGAGGTGAGGACTGGTTCAAATGGCCACATCAGAAACATAATGTATGCATTTAAAGAGGTTACTAAGGATTCATTTAAGTCCATAAAGTCTTATGGAATGGCAAAAACGTTAGTTTGCATTAACACACACACACACACACACACACACACACACACACACATAATACACAGTATTGCGCATACAGGAATCAACACAGGAGTTTGCATTTGATGCTGGTATTACACCTTGTTGATCATTTTCACAGCTCGCTGTCTCATCCCTGCTGAGCGAAGCCGTGTGGTGATTGGTGGAGTGAAGCGGTGGCCATTTGACGTTACAGATGCCGTGGTTCCTCACGGGGAAAATGTGACGTTCTACTGCAAACATCCTCGCAAGCAATGCAGCTTCACTGCAACCCAGGCCTGCTTTGACGGACAGCTGCAGCCACCAGCGTGCTACCTTGGTAATAAACCTGGACCACCCATACAGGCCTTCCTATTCTTTATCTGTATCAGTTTCAGCATGTCAGGCACAGGAACATGAGGAGGGGACAGTTGGAGACTTTTGCAATATTCATGCACCTTCTCTTTGTTTTCAGAGCCCACATGGTTGCAGTATAAACTCTTCCCTCACCGGCTGGTCTCAGAGATTGAAGCATGTGAGTCCGGTGATGTGGAGTGACGACTTGCACATCCGACCTTTGACCCATCCAGCACTCATTAAACTGTGTCATACCTCCTGACACACCGACACCCACCACCCAGAGCAGCCCCTCCCCGCTCTGCAGCTTTGCTTCAACTATCTATGCTATGATTATGGTCTGTTAGAGTCTGAAATATTTTTCACAGCTCTTGTGGATCCGCAGGCTAAGCTGTCTATCCTGCGCCCATGGCCTTTGTCACTCTCTCCTGCATCCTATCAGACTGCAGGCGTAATTATAATCTGCAAACCCCTCAAGTAGCTATTACCTTCATCCTCATCCAGCTGGAGCCAATGCATACTGTAGATGCAATCCATAGGCCTTCATGATGATGTATATATATAATGCATTAATACATGCTATATCAGTTATGTTTGTGATGATTCCTCCATGTAGCCTTACTCATAATGGCTTGACTCTGTGATATCATATCTCACTGTGTGATCTTTCCTTTCTCTGTTGAGCATGACGCATCAAGTCTTGAGGCTTGTAAGTGTAAATTTGGAATAAAGTAATGTCAAAATGTTTTTTGCTCTCTGGCTTTCTTTTTTTTTTTCATGACACACAAAGTGCTACTGTGTGAGTTCAAGTCCATTTCTCTTCATCCTCTTTATCCCCCTCTTGCTTTGCTCCCCGTCTCTCTGACTCTCAGGCGCACAGAGAGTCTTTCTTTGCAGGCTGCAGGTTCAACCGTACTCATAGGCTGAACATGGCTACTGGTCGGACCCGGTAGGCTGCGACACCATAGCAACTCCCCTTGACCCCTCCCTCCCTCGGCATTCGCAGCATCACCCTTTACACTGCACAGTCATATTTGGTCCTCCGGAAATATCCTCAGCACGGGTAAGCCAGTCCCTATGCAGCGAGTCTATGGGTGGAGTATAGTTTTAAATACAGTTTTAAATGTATCGAAAGGGGGTTCGGTGCGTCCTACGCCGGCTCTGACAGCAAGGCTGAAGGAAAGTTGTCCTAAAGCTGCCGGGTTGCGCTCTCGGTGTCTCGGACCCTCGGCTCTAAAATGGCTGGCTGTAGGTCCGAGGGAGCTCCGGTGCAAAGGGAAGGATCCGCTCCGCACCGCGACTGTCTGTAAATATACACGTTTCTCTACTCCGACTGACGCGTTAGTGATGGTGATGTCCCAGGTCCGAGAGCTGTCAAGGCGCACACGCACCATAATAATATTTGCATTTCGGACCTAGGACTGTGCGTAATGGCGTCCTCCACGGACAGAGCACCTCGGTGTATATCCCCATACACATTTTCAGAACAGGCTCGTGTTTGCAAACCAAACGGAATATGAGTATTGTTGTTAAGCGAATATGAAACGAGACGTTGTGTTTGTTTGTGTTGCATGTGGACGATGGAAGTATGAGAGAGGAAATGTTATTTCGCTCACATCATTCGGACCCTTCTGTACTCCGGTGCGTTTCTGTGAATGATCGACGGGTCCGGTCGACCCCTCGGTAAGAGATTCGCTGAGCTAGAATTTAGGAGCATGCAAGGTAACCGACACAATTAACAGGACGGTCTGATGTGCTGGAGGAGGAGGGGGTCAAATGAGTCGATCATCATGTCGGACTGAGGAGTTGGGGGGGGTCTGCTTCAGACAGGCTGTTAATATTGTGACAAAATCATTGGCTTTTGCACTAAACTTGACCCCAAAAATCCCAATTGAGACAGTGAGTTTTTCCCAACAATCCCAGGATATTTATTTAATTCCCATCTTTTGCTACCATGAAATGTGTTTATTTTTATTCAGATTTTGCTACTCTTGAGTTTCTAATTTATTATTTTATTCCTATTTTATAGAAATATAAATGGGTATGCCCCAAAATGGATTCTCAGTTGGCTTCAGTCCTGACCAGTGGCAGCCTGGATGTCCAAAATGGCAGCCAGTGTGCAGAGGGATCAGGGCCAGTGACAGAGGTTTGTTTGGACCCAAAGGAAAAAACCTCACCCAGTACTGTACCAGGTAACCTCCAGCCCTGCTCTGTCAAAGCAGCAGTGACCATCAGGCAAGATGCTCTATCAATCAATGGGAAAAAGCCAGAGGTGGGCGGGACTTCTAAGCCAGCCTCTCAGGAAACAAGCAAGATTGGTGGGTTCAGACAGCCAATTACAGTAAAGACTGGAGTGCCTGTGTTGCGCAGCCGACCAATCAGACTCAAAATTGTTGTTCCCCCACGGTGCAAGAAGCCAATCACAAACTCTGCCATCAGCCTGACCAAAGACTTTGCTCGCTCACATTTTAGAAGACCTGTTTCGGTCGCATCTGGAGCAGTGATCACAGAAAAAAACAGAAGTAAAATCCAAATATCTGCTGTTAAGGTTAAAGAAGAAATCAAGGAAGTTACTTATCAAAAGACTGAGGACGCTAAACCAGAATCATTCCAAGAGACAGAGGCAGAGAGAGGGGAAAAAATGTGCAAAGAGAGACATGTTTCAGGTGCTAAAATCACCCTCACTGATAGGTCAGAAACTCCTTTAATTTCTAGCACAGCCACAGTTAAAATACTGAGTCAGCAAGGCATTAAAGTGGAAATGACAGAAAGAGAAATTGAAGAAAATATCCCTCTAGATTTGCATGACGTGGACTTGAAGTCTTGTAAGACGTTTGATGAGGTGGGCATGGAGGAACAGACCGAACCACTGGACCTGAGTTTGCCCAAGAAAAAAGAGAGGAGGTGTGGACGCTTTCTGGAGGATTCTGGCTGTGAGAGCTCGCTGATTATGGAGGTAGATGAATATGAGGGAGAAGGAGACCGAGACATAGTAGAAGAGGACGATGAGGGTGACGGAGACGGCTCTGTGCTGCGTATGGACGGCACAGATACACTCGAGGAATCTCTCCTATCTCCCTCTTTCTTTTCTACCTCTGTCTTTACCTCCCTCTCTTCGATAGATAGTGACACTGAAAACCTTCTTCTCATAGACGACCAGGGAATCCCATATACTCTCAGTCCAGACGGACTCAAAGTGCCGCAAGTCGATGCTTCCACGTCAGAGGATCCTCAGTCAGATCAGGCTAAGTCAACAGAGGTGGAAGGAGGGGGGTCACCGCAATTGGCCTCGTTAGCATATCCTAGCCTCAGCCAAAGTAAAGATAATGCACTAAATGCACCTTTGAATGATCTTTACGACTCACCAGCGCCTGCGACTGAGTCTCCATCACTAGGTGTTGATCAGAAAAAGACTCCAGAAGTCTTCACAAGTTTGATTACAAACTCAGATCCCTCTAAGGCTGGAGACTCAAGCATTAAATCTGTTCAGGCTGATGCTGTTCCTCCCCCTTCCTCTGGGATATCAGTCCCCACCCAGCCAATTCAGATCCTCACAAACCCCTCTACTAACGCCCCGATTCTCCTCCTGTCATCCTCCTCTTCTTCTCCTCAGCTCTCTTCCACTCCAGTGGGTCTCACGCTTCCCCTGTCAGTTACTCAGACCTCACCTGGTGCTTCTACTCCAATGTTCCTTCTCCTTTCATCTGTACCCTCCTCCTCCGGAGACTCTGCCTCTACCTCCACCCCTATCGCTGTCCTCGACCCCGCGACTGGTCAGTTGTCCCAGATCACAGCAGCCTCGGCCCCGGTCTCCCTGCCTTTGCCCTCTGGTCAGGTCAGCAGGCTGGGATCACCTCTGCCTGCGCTGTCTCACCCCGTCATCAGACTGAGCCCCAATAACCCCCCTGTCATCCTGTCAGGAGTGAATAATGTAAACTCTGGCGCTGTTCTCACCTCTCTTGCGGTCCGTTCGTCGTCTCCTGCTCTTCAAAACGACTGTCACAGCACAACTCCCCTCCTTCACATCAGCTCTTCCGATTCAAACTCTGGAAGTGAAGCCATATCTGCTGAAGAAGTCTCAAAAGAAAACAACAAGCCATTACCTTTTACAGAATCCTCTTCGCCCCCACAGCCTGCTAGTTTAACCTTTGACCCCTTAGCTCAGCCCAGCTCGGAGGCCCAATCACCAGCCTCAGAGACCGAGTTTGACCCGTCTGACCTGCACTCACATCATTTACCTCTAGATGACCATCTTTATTTCTCCAGCGCTGCTGCTCCTCCCTCCCCTCCCATCGGACCCATTCTCTCCTCTGATAAACTCGACCCCCTGAAGCCCCTCGACCCCCTAGATCCACTGGACCCTCTCTCTCCAGCAGCGTCCCCCAACACCATGGGCCCCCGCAGGGTGCTGTACTGCCAGCTGTGCCCACGGGTCTTCTTTTACCTCTCTGACCTTGAGCGCCACGCCATCACTCACTCGCAGAAGAAGCCTCATGTTTGCCAGCAGTGCGGCAAAGCCTTCAAACGCTCCAGCCATCTGCAGGTCGGTGGAAGCTAATTATAGCTATCATTTTATAAGCAATATAAATAATAACACTAGTCACTTGAACAGATGTTACAGCTTTTTAGGGAAGTGACTGTTCACACTGTGAACACAATTCTGACATTTAATCACCTTTTAAGTTGATATGTTGGCAAACAGCTGCTTAAATCCAGCATGGAGCAACATTAGCATTTATTTGGAGTCACCTGATGACTAAGTTTTACTCCTTTTCCTTTGAACTCTGGCTTTGGTTTTCATCCAAAGTATTTGGCCCTTTAGCTGCTAAATGCTCCACTGTGTTCGCCAGATTGCCAGGACCTTTGACAGTCTGCCGTTAGCTGCTGGGCAGAGGGTTTTTAGAGCTTTTTAGCTGAAAACAGCTGCTTCCTGCGGGCGAGGATGACACTATGAGAGTGCTGAGAGTGGACCAAAACACTAAAGCTGCTGGTAAATCACAATGTGCTGAAAGATACTACCAAGCTCTGCAGAGCTGAGGTGAACCACACAAGTCAGGTGTTTTTGTAGCTTCATCATTATCCCTTACACAAGTAGTCATGTGATCTATTGTTAATAAGGAAATATTGATTATTGTTGCATTAATAAAAGACTTGAGTGACATTTTCACAGATTTAAATAAAATTTTCCTCAACAGAGACACAAGCACATCCACACAGGCCAGAGGAACTTTGTGTGCCCCATCTGCGGCAAACGCTTCAGGGAGGCCGGTGAGCTGCAGCGCCACCAAAGGGTCCACACTGGAGAGAAACCCTACCAGTGCCAACTTTGCCACACGCGCTTCGCTGAGCGCAACACACTACGCCGACACACCAAACGCAAACACCCTTACCACCAAGTAGCCATGGAAATGCTGAACGAGAGAAAAGGAGCCGGCCGAGGAGACGGTGATGGCGGAACCGGAGTGCAGGAGGAAGAAGAGAGTGCTGAATGGTACAGCTCCACTGTGTCTAATTTGGATAACTCAGAGTCTGAAGTAGAAACGTAAAGAGTTGTCTGAACATATAGACTCCAAAGTGAAGGGAAGGGAAGGAGGAGGAGGAGATTAGGACGGTATCTCTGGTGAGACACTAAACTTTCCTCATTGATTAACATTCAAAAAAGGGAGCACTTGCAATATTTATGTTTTTAAGATAATTTATTTATGTGAATGTATATTATTCCCATTTCATTTAAAGGTCCAAAAATACAGCCTTCAGAGTCATACAGGATTTCCACATTAGCTTTCCTGTATGAAAAAAATTGCATATATGAAAGGGAAAGCTCATGTTTTTTTATGCAGGGGCAGAGCTAGAGAAATATTCATAGGGTGGCATGGAAACTTAAAGGGGTGGCAGAAATATATGCTGATTTAATCACAATCACACATATCAATATTTTATTGGAAAAGCCCCCAAATGAAGATATTTTAACTCAAAAACACAGTTGTGGCACACACCCCTCTAGATCCATCCCTGTTTCTATGCGAGTTCAAAATATTAATTAGACTGCTAACATGAAGTTGCATACCCATACAATCCATGATGTAAACCCTCAAGTGCTCAGAAAAGAAGGATACGTTATTTACTCTAAACAATTCTCTGCTCTTGTTGTATATATGAAGAGTCCTATTTGTAAGAGCTGCACTTCTGCACTATATTATGTGAAAGATGTAATCTATCTTTCGTACCGTCAGAGACACTGTGAGTCATTTGCACTTCTTTTATTTTAACTCAATATTCACTTTTTTATATTGTGAAAGAAAATGCTTACTTCTTTTGTTGCAGCTGATTTTATGTATTTAATTCTTATCATGTAAGAGTTTGACCATATGTTTTGATTTATTCTAACATAAACACTATATTCAGATTTGTTTTTGGTTTAATGTGAATTATGTTAACTTATTTGAATAAAATTTTGTCAACTGTAACTAAATCTTTGTCCCATCTTCTTTTCAGTCTTCTTCCACTTTGGTGTCTTTCCCATACAGATGTTAAAAGAATGGAAGTATATATTTTAAATTGGCTTTTCATAAAAAGATTTTAATCACATATAAATGTCCTTGGTAATGAACACTAGGGCCAGGGTCCATATCTGTCCTTTAATTTAAGCTGATCCTCAGAGTTGATTCTCCTCTCTACATTAATCACCAAAGACGAGACCAGACTTTACACGGATCTTTGTGAAGAAGAAAAAAAAATGAAGATACCTGATATATATCTGCTGGACTGCCTCCAGGGAGTAATTGAGTTTGTAAGACAGTCCTCTGTTTTTTGCACTCTCTCAATTTTCTGCTCCATTTAAGCCATGGAGCCTAACAGAGCTAAGCTCAAGATAAGTTATTAAATACTGTATCGCTCAAATGACCTGACTGGGTCCTCATGGCCGTCCCATTCCTTATTTCTGTGCGGGCCATTATGGGAACAGAGATGCTTTGGTATGCCGAAAGGCCTGCGCTAAGCTCCATTGTAACTGGGTTTGGCAAACTTACTTTTATAGAGGTGGTGGAAGGAGAGAGACGTAGATCAAAGGTTAACCAAGCAGATTCTGTGTGAATGGAGAATGTGCTGCTGAGAGACAGTCTGTACTTGGCGATAGTGGAGTATTTGCTCTGATAAAACAGTAAGAGCTGGTATTTAATGCATGTTTTACCTTTGCCATTTTACCTATATAACTTAAAACTCACAGGGAGTCTCGTTTTTTTAAAAGTATTTTTTAAAGTATTTTTTGGGGCTTTTTATTGCCTTTATGATAGAGACAGCTGAAGACAGACAGGAAAGGGGGGCAGAGAGAGGGGATGACACGCAGCAAAGGGCCACAGGTCGGATTCGAACCCTGGGCCTAACTGAGCTAACTGTGCGCCCCGACACAGGGAGTCTTGTTAGTTACAAAAAAGAATTTTAGGCCACAAAGAACTCGTAGGAAAATTGTGAATAACACAGATTAATACAATAAAGATTTTCAACTATAAGAGAGTTTGCATTGCCATTTATAGCAAGGTACATATTTAATGGATCGGTTTACATTTTTTCCTTACATTTGTCTTAAACAATACTCATGTATATTTTATTTACTGCTGGTTGCTGTAATTGTAATTGTTCCTTTTGTCAATACTGGCTGTAACAGTATTCTGTCCTAATGGGATTTCAATGTACAAGATGACGGACAAAATTCACAATCAAAATTCCGTCCTGAAGCTGAAGCTAATATGAATCTTCAGCAGTGCAAGTTTGACAAAACAGCTGGGTGTCTTTTTTGTCTTGTTTGTCTTTTTCAGTACAATTTCATACCAAAAAGACAGTAACTTTGGAAAAATCCCTCTTGATTCAAGGGCTAGTAGGAAGAACGATTACAGCAACAAATATATTTTTTACGTACATGATGTGGGATCTATCCTTTATTTCCAGTTGTGTTAGGCCACTGTGGGCAAAGCTGCAAATAAATGTTCAGGCCTTCTTCATGGTGATATTGGATTTACAAGGTTGTTGCATCAATGTGGTGAAATATCTTGATTTTGGTTCATTTTTGTTGAGCGCCTTTTAAACTGTCCTTACCCCCACAAGTGCGGAATCCATACATGTGAGGTAAGTGTGAGTTTGTATAGCTGAAAAAATAACACAAGCATTCTAAAATGTTAGTGATAATCACCTTAAATATATCATAGTGTAAGCAATTCAACTATATTACAATCTTTTTTTTTTACATGTTAAGATTTTATTCTAACTCCTTTTGTGTCTTTTTCATTGAAAGTCAATGTATGCCTGTAAATCACTGAAAACATTAATAATTCCAATAATTCATAGTTTTAAAAATGTCTTTCAATAAAATGTTTCTGGTCTACAGACATAAACAGAGATCATGTATATGGTCTGAGCTTGTCTCTACGGGATATATATATAAAGTTATGTCACTATAAATAAAACAAGGCAAACTCCAGAGGGTGCCAAAAACAAACATTCCCAACTGGTTATTTTGTCAATAAACGACTGCAACACTATATACTGTATGTTGATATCATGCTATTATATTACATTACCACAATATTACCACAATAGAAGATTTTATTTATGTCTCGTCCACACAATATCACAACACACAACATTATGATACCCTCCTCATCTGTCCCATGAAAGATGGGGCCTTAACCAACAATTGCTCCAAGCTTTATTGTTGTAGAAGTGCTACATACACATTATTGAGGTCAATCTGAGGGTTCAGCCATTAAATCAATCCTGTTCTGTCAGTAAAATAAATAAATTAATAAATTGACACAAAACAGACTCTGGTTCCCTAACTGACACCACTGGGCTGTTGCATCGCTGAGCCTACAAGGTCCTCAGTGCATGATGATGATGATGAATATTCAACCGGCCGAGTGTGTGAGATCAGCAGTCCAGCTGGAGATGTGTGTGTACAGTACATTATGTGTGTGGGTGCAGGGTTGGTAGTTGTCCAGATTGCACAGAGCTTCAAAGTGCTGTGACTGACAGACAGGTGGATGACGGATGGAGAGAGGACAGAAATCTGTGGAGTCTGTGTGTATGTGTGTGTGTGTGTGTGTGTGTGTGTGTGTTTGAAATCTGCCCTTGTGTGTGTGTGTGTGTGTGTGTGTGTGTGTGTGTGTGTGTGTGTGCGCCTGTGTTTGTGTTGCGTGAAGTGGAACGGGCAGCAGGGCTTCTGAGTGGCACAAGGCACATGGCCAAGTGATTGAAGTGATAAAGGTAGAGGAGGAGTGAAGAGAGGGACGGGAATAGATCCAGTGATGAACGAGCAGGGAGAGGCAGCAGATGTAATGAAGTGTGTTAGACTGGTATGTTTCAGCTTTTTATTCTCTTTAATACATTCGGCACTTTGATATGTTTGTTGTATATCCACTCCGTTGCATGATAGACGTCCCATTATTGCCACTAAGAGGTAAAATGATGGAAAGCTAAAGTAACCGTGGATGAATCTTGTTTTTGATTGTTGTTGCACAGTTCAGCCATGTGAGGGCACACTTACACTTATGATGTGCTGCATGAACTGGCTTATTCCTTATGCTGTCTCTCAGCTCTCTCAAATGGTGGAGGGATACTTATACCAGGGTGAAAGGCAGAAGACTGAGAGCTTCGAGAAAGCTGGATCTACATTCAAACTTTGCTGTTCCAGCAGCAAAGGCAGCAGATTTTTACATAAATGTGAAATCGCCCATGATTACTCATAAAGAATAGATTTATTCCAAGCTATATTATGCTTCTTATAGCCTGTGTTTTGCATGTGAGACCAGAATTACACAGAGAAATATGATATTTCACAAGGGAAAGGTTAACAGCGTGCAAGCCTCCTTGCCCACCAGACACAGTGCAGGATTAACACTATGAAGTCTGTGTGTGTGTGTGTGTGTGTGTGTGTGTGTGTGTGTGTGTGTGTGTGTGTGTGTGTGTGTGTGTGTGTGTGTGTGTGTGTTTTTGAGAGGGAGAGAGTGGGAGGGAGGGAGAGGAAGAAGAAGGGTAACAGGTGTTAATCAGAAAGGGTGTCCAGGCTGTAGAGGAGAGGGTGTAGCTGTGGAGGGTAACCAATTACATCACCTTTCCCTCAATAACGTGCCATGCTGTCAGTGCAGTCTGTGTTTATATATGTGTGTGTGAGTTTGTGCGAAATGCATTTGAGGGATAGCTGTCAAAGGTGAGATGTCATAATGATGAAAAAACGCAGCCGCACTGTGTAAATGGCACCTGAAATAGCATTTCGTCTGTAACCAGGTATTATATTAAGGTTCCCATTAATTTTGCGTTCCATTAGTTGTTCCATTTTGCTCCATGGCAACCATAATTGGCCCATGCAATGGTATCTCTGATTAGTGGATCTCCACGTCAGGGTCTTTCTTTCCACATCAGATAAAATGGCAGCGACCTCGGTTTTTTTCCTCTGTTTCCCTGTCAGCTGCAGCTCTCTTCCTGTCCCCGTCGTAAAGACTTCCCCCCTGTGTTGCGCCCTCCCTCCCTCACCAACTTTTGCAGTCTCCTCTGCCTCACCCTCTATACCTCCCCTCCCTGTCCCCCCCGTATGACCTGCTGAACCAGCACACACCGGCCTGTCTGTCAAATCGACAGAACAGGTGCTCCAGCTACGACCTCGCTTCCCCCATCTTTTCCCCCTCTGCTGCCCAAAGGCACACGCACACACACGCACGCACACACACGCACACACATGCATACACACGCACACATGTAGAGAGCATGCACACACAGACAAACACTCTCCTACATGTTCACCCAACTTGCTTTGGAGGCTGGAACAGCGAGGTGATTTCTGCTTGGCACCAGTGCTGATACATACTGTAAACTATATGCTGACGGATACTGACTTACTGACCTGTGACTTTCTTCGGTGTCACACACACACACACACACACACACACACACACACACACACACACATACACATGTATACTTGCACGCAAACAGTACTAAATCACTTTAAGAGGGTGACCCAAAGGTGTCTTGACAGGAGCATATGAGCCTGCAGTCCTGCTGCAGTACATGATTTGATGTGAGTCCAAAACACTCCCGGGCTTTTCTCACTGCCTTGTAATAAACTGTCTCTTTATCCTGCCTTCACTTTTCTATCCATCACATTATGTAGTAATTCAGCGCCTAACATTAAGGAACTTCATCACTTTTGTCAAAGACGTACAAACAAACACAAAAGTGATTATTGTCTTTGAATCTGCTCCTCAATCAATCAGTCAGCACATGCCAGGGGGGAGTGAGTGGCTGCTAGGAGAAGGGAGGAGGGGGGAGATGAAGCCATGGAGGGGGAGGGGTAAAGTTTGACAGTCGCTCACAGTTGGCACCAAGGATCCAGGATGCTTTGGGGCGGATGGGGAGAGGGGCAGAGAGAGCAAGGCAGAGGTAGAGAGGGTGAGTTTCTAGTGTAAGGGGACAGGGAACCAC